GGAAAGGATATGTGAAGGGTTTTGATAGAGATTTCAATATTATGAATGCCTGAAGAATATAACTTGCAATGGATTTACAATGCTTTCTTTCCCATTTCAAGCCAGAGGAAGTACAATTTGGTGCCTTTACTGGAAGAGTTGTCAAGTGAAAGGATTAGGCAAATCATTGTTAGATCATCTGTGTTACAAGCACAACTTGTAACCATAATTCTGTCATTAAAAGCTTTTTCCAATAAACTAAAAGTTTTCCTCCCTGGCTGTTCACTATTCTGTAAACTTATTTCCTTATTAAAAGGACAAAGAAGAATATTTGGGAATACTTAATGAAAAAATCTTTTTAGTAAGCAGAAACTTGCATTCTTCGATGTTGCGAAGTATTGTGGTGCAATATGTTTCTCCAATTAGAGCTCATCTGAAATTCAAACATCTTATTTATTTTGCGTAGTTAATTAATACAGTTCATGCTCCAAAAAGAAACATTAATAATAAAATATTTAGCTATTCATCCCAAAAGAGGACAGGAAAAAAACAAGTCAATATAAAGCATAATTAGTAAGCAAAAATTTGAATACTATAGTGAATCTTGTTTTCCTTCTCTCCACCTCTATGAAAAGTTCAGACATTCAGTGGCTAGAGAAACACAACAAAAAAGCTCTGGGACCATTGTTTGTAACCTTTAGGTTCAGACAAACCTGTCTCACTCCAAAGAGAAAAAAATTACAGTTAATTTCCAAGATAAACCATCCAGGCTTACAAAGCTCCTTAGGCATTACTTTATATGCTACATTCATAAGCCTACCTTCGTAGTAAACATTAACAGATTAGGATAGCTGGCAAGCAGTTGAGGAACCACAGAAGTAGGTCTGCTGAGCAAAACTGCTGGGGCTGAGAACCCGACATCCACACGAGTCCTGTGTCAGGGCTTTACTTTGAACTCCCTCTCTCTGACCCACAGACTCAAGCCCCCTTAGGAGTTGGAAAGGTTTGAAACTAAAGTATCCAGCAAGTGCTCTCCCATCTTTACTCCTTTATTTATACCCAACCAGTCTGGTGGGTATGTTAGGAAACTGGGGGGAAGGACGATAGGACCACTTCCTCATGTGCACCAACAAATGATTATCCTCATAACTTCCATGGCACAGCACTTCATCCTGCACGAACAAGCTGTTTCCTTTTCTGATCCACTACCCTGTCTGCCCTGCTGTGAGCTCCTGTGCTTTGCACATGGCTTTATGTATCAATTTCCTGACACCACACACAGAAAATACAACTTGGATAGCAAGATTAAAGGGAGTGAGACGAAGACTTGGTCAGTCATGTTCTTCCATCTGAGCTCTTGGAAAACTCCTACCTTACGCCACAAACTGGGGTTACCTGTTGAGACTTTGAGTATCAATTACTCTTTTTTCCACACTGATGATTTCCTAATAATTGACAAGGCATTCTTCCTACATAGTGATTGTTCTGGCATGATTTTCAGACAAAAGATTTTATCAGATATCATCTTCCCTGTTTCTCTTCAGCATCCTACGTACAGGTCACTGCAGAAGTACTGCAGTAATGACTCTAAAAAGTGGAACTCACAGATATCCTTTAATTAGAAGGAAAAAGGAGACATTTATTTCTCCTTGATCTTTCAATATTATATAGTAAAATTAAGTTCATGACAACTTGAAAATCTACACTAATTCTCAGGGAACTGGGAGAAACCCACAGACTAATGATTCAGCTACAAAACCAACAGCTACATTTTTCTGATGTAAAATGATGTAAAATGAGCTCTGATGTAGCAATAGAGATTTAGGTAAGGACTGCCATTATTTAAAGAAACTGAAAAAGGTGTTCACAACCTCTCTGTTTACAAGCAAAAAGAGTTGAGAGATAGGGCAGCCTAAATACTTCAGGAGGTTGCTTCTGTTCAATCTACAGACCTCGTGTTGTTCTATTTAAAGCTAGTTTCAATTTAAAAAAGAGATATTTTCTTTGCATTTATGCTGTCTCAATCTTTTTCCTCTTTTTAGTTGTCATTCCCTGAATCTCACACATTGAATATACCTTTTCTGAGGGCAAATTCTGTACTACAGGCTGCATATATTTTAAAAACTATTTACAAGTATCTTCCAGAAATGTTGAGAACTTCCAAGACTGTAAAGTTGCTCATATTTTCATAGCCTAAATCACAGATCTTTCAAAGTGTAACAACATCTAAAGGCAAAATAGCTTACAAACATAGAGAGTCAGAGAACTGGGAAAAAAAAAAAAAAAAACAATACTGAACATAAATTTCAGATTAAGCTCTTATTGCTAGAGTTGAGTTCTGAAGTTCATGGCAAACATGCATTTGATTTCAAAAGGGCAAACAGTCAACACCCTGACTTCTAATTGTTCTGAAATACCTCCTAGCAGAAAGAAAACTAAGAGTAATGTATCATTTTACTACAATATTCAGACTTTGGAACAGAAATTCTCAGAGCTGTTTTAATGAAAAACAATATGTAATTTGAAAAGTAGCAGAAGTTCACATTAAAAAGCAGGAAAAAATTATGTGCTTTTTTATCATCACAGATGGCACTTTATAACCTTATATCTTGTCTGATCACTTTTTCTTAATAAAATATTATAAATGAGCTTAACTTAAATATTTCACTCTCAAATACAAAGAACAAGATTTTCAAAGCTTTATATTACCTTTATAAAAAAAAAAAAAAAGGAAATAGACAAATTGTGAAGAAAAACATATACAGAAATAAGAATATATGCATTATTCAAATCAAGGTGCCAATCTAAATGGCAAACAAGATTTTCCCAGATACACTGATTATATTAATAGCTATTTGAATAACTGTATTATGAATAGGGTTGCATAAAATCAGATTTAACTGAAGCAACATCTGACATACTAAAGGCGTCACAAAGGATGTATGTGTAATTTGCAAAATTAGTTCCATTAAAAGTGTGAAATAGTCATTGCTCATCATATTTTTAAGATTATGAACTCAGAACTTTATGAATACCAGATTTCATTTAAACCCCGTGTTGCATCTAAAGACTGTTGCCTACAAAGAAAAATAGTCAGGCATTTTCTGCACTCTTCAATATAGCAGTAAGTCTGAAGTAAAGACAGAAACAATTGCATACATCTGCCTGCAAATTGTGCACCAAATTATAAGAGTAAAGAATCAGTTACTTTTAGAATAGCATTCAGGCTGAATTACTACCTTGTCTCATTCCACCTCCAACTTCGAGAGGACTGTTCACCAACATTCACCTCCACCTGCAACACACACTAACAAGATGTTTATAATCCTACTCTGATCAGCACTTATGTTAACTAGAACTAGTACTTCAAATGCATTTGGGAGATTCTGGTAGTGACATTTAATGACATTTTCACCCTACAAAGCATGTAAAGGCTTTAGTGTTGTTATTGACTACATTTTAAAGGGATCTGCAGGCTGTATTTCATTAGCAAAACAACATTAATTTAGTACACTAACCCCACTACACAAGTATTTATCATACTTTATAAGATAGTATGATTTTCACATGACAATTTATTCATGCATAGCTGGAAAATGCAAATAATCTACTAAATTGGGTAGTGGTACCATTATGTCTTATGTGCTGGAAATAGTCTATGTGTAAATGAGAACTCAGAAAAATTATTAAGAGATATCAACGTACTTTATTGCAGTAAATTCTAGTAAAATTGCATCACTGTTTAAATCTTAGTTCTGAAATAAATTCCACAAAGATAGGGCACTATGACGAGAGACATCTTTGTGAAGAATTAGAGCTTCAGAGATTATTTTTATCTCAATATTTTATCAGTGTAATGAGACAAATTATCCTCTGAGGATAAATTGATTAAACATTAATTTCTCAAAATAAAGCGAACAGCCAAAACACGAGGGCTTATCTGCTACAGGTAAAACTTCATATATTATTTTATAATATGACCCTTCCATAGTACTTTTGTTTGATTGCTTAAGAAGGAATTCTTAACTTTCATTGATTTTATAATCAGTGACATGTTGGTTACTAACATCAGTGTACATAAACTTTTACGCAAAATTTGACATTTGAGCTTTACATAAAGCAATCTAAACCAACAGGGAATTCTTGACATTTCATTTGTCCTTATCACCTAAAAGAAGTTTAAGGAATAAATTATATGGCCCACAATACTTTAACTCTTCATTACCAAGAGTACGTTAGTTAAAATAGCCCTGTGCAAGACAGCGAGTATGCTCAACTGCAACAGAAGACTGTGGGCTCAGAGTTGCAATTATTAAATACAGATAAATGCTCTCTGCCGTAAAATTACACTCCCTTTTCAAAATAATACAACCTCATGACCCCAAGTTGAGCAACAGGATGTATAAAATTTAACCACCTCCTTAAAAAGCTTCTTTAATTTTATTTTCAAGTTTTACTAAAGTTTCAATTGTCTTATAAAATTATGTATTTTTACTTTTCATAACCCGAGAATAGCCTAAAGTTTTGTATCTATATGTATTTCTACATATAGAAATTAATAATGAACACACCTGTTTGAAGATACATACAGATTTCATCCCACACTGGTGATATGAGGCACTAGAACAATTAAGAGAAATTTTGACACTTCTGAAATACAATAAAATGCATGACCTCCATACTGCTCTGTACTACTCATTCCATAAAAATGAATATCAGTATTATGTGAAAGCTTGTCCTTAAATCAGAGATACAAGAGTAAAATGTTCACAACAGCACTTACAAAACTGGAGATTATCCCCACTGAAAGATCACTGAACAGTATTTATAAAGCTTCATGTAATATTTCACAACTAGTAAAAAAATCCACTTATTGGAACACGTGCAAAAGACTGAAGTCAAGTTCAGGAGCCTTCCTAAATAACACAGTAAAGAGAATGAGGACCTGTTCTCTCAATGATACTTCGAAGTGTCATGGTTTTAGACCAAAAAAAAAAAAAAACCCATTGACATAGAACATGTAAAATTATTGGCATAGTCTTTATTTTAAATAGATCTCTCCAGCACAGTGAAAGACATTTCCCTCAGAAGAAAAGTAACTAGGTAGTGATTTAGAAAAAAAATATTGTAATGCCTATTATTTTATATGCTTATGCAAATACAAAAATACTAAAAAGCTAGAACACCTTTCCAGGTCAGGCCCCACATTCTTGTCCAATTTAATTTTCAAGGACACTCATGATGTGTTATTTGGCTATAATAATCACCTGAAAGTAGCTTTTTCTAAACAAATAAGCAAATCTCTGTCTTGATTAAAACAAAGCACAGTAAAAACTGATAACGAATCTAGTTGCGAGTAAAAACAGAACTTACTGCATTGCTCTTCACTAAGTACAGAGTCAACAGAAGAATAAATGCAGACATAGCAGATATGTTAAAAGACAGTTCATTTTTAATAATCTGATAATTATTAGTAAGATGTTATCAGTTAAAGTAGATGTTTATGTACAATATAATTGGAAATCCTAACATCTAGAATTAATTTAATGTATTTTTCAGGGATTAGGCATGCATTTTCATCCAAACCACGATTGTTTGTGACTTCACAATAATATTTTCCAGGTTTGAACAGCAACATCTCTCCTATGTTGCCATGTTAAAAAAAAGCAGACGAGGGGAACACTGTGGGATCTCAGCAAATCATTTAGTATATGCAAAGATCAAATAAGCACTCAGTCATACACTATAGTCTCCAGTGCCAGATCACAGATATTATTCAAATATATGAATAGTAATCAAAATTAACATTTGTTTCTTCCTATGCAGCTCCTGCTGCAATAATATGGCATCTGAAGAAAGCAGCAGCTTCCTGGTTTAAGCATTTCTACTATATTTACTCATCTCAGTAATACCCAGACAGAACGTGTTATGACTCAAATGAAGAAAAGACTTTTTCATTCAAAGATCTTATTTCTCATGTTTCAGAGGATTTTTTTTTTTCCTGAACTCAGGTTCTTCAAAAACAGGGTAGCTTCTTCCCAGCTCTGTCTACAGAAAATACTACATCCAGGCCAAACTGTAAACAGCTCTTTTTGTACGAGAATACATAAGGACAACAGAAGACCAAGGGACTGCAGCGTGTAGAGCTAGGTAGTTTTTCAACAAGTTTCTAAATCTTTGTAAAGAAGAGATAGAGTAATCCAAACTGTTGCATATGTCTAACACTCTTCAGAATATTGATATCAAAGTGTATGTACAATAAAAAATACCTAATTTTAATAAAATGTCTGTATAAATATATCTCCTTGGTGCACTATTCACAGTGATTTCTACATTTAAATTAAATGTTTTAAATGTGTAGTTGTCAGAACTTTGGGTTTATCTTCATATTTCTTTTAGAAAACTTCCTTTGAAAAGAGTCTCAGATAAGAATACTTATACAGAGCACCCTGGATTCATATCAATAAAATTAAAATTCTGATGTACATATTTGAAAAATATTTTGTATTTTCAAATACGGATTGATAAACTGCACAGTTCTCATTCCAGTCGTCCTTGCTTAGCATCACCTATTGCTCCCCACACATCAAAGACAAACTCATCTGGAAATGCAAAGTCTCCAAGAGTTTCATCCAAAGCCACTGCAAATTCATCTGGGTTTTTCTTGTCTCTTCCAGCTTCCACCATTGTTGCAGCTAAAAAGTAACAGAAGAAAATAATGTAATTATCATGAAAGTGACAGCTAACATATACGGCCAAGGTATTTTTTTAATGTCTATTTTCAAAACCAGGTAAGGTCACTTTAGGGAGATGTAAAGCTTACCTACTGAATTTATGATTCAATAGGAATTATGTACTTAGATGTCCCCACATTAGCTACATTCTGCTCTGATAAACAGGAGAGCATCCTTGAAGCACTCGTATATTCTTCTGTTTGTTTGGCAGAGGTTTAATTTTTTATTCAACAAACTTCCATTTTAATCTTATCAAATTATATTCACTACTGAATGCACATGAAGCATGACTCTAAAAACAAGGTTAAGCACAACTCTTCTGCAAAAACAAGATCCATGCCAGTCCATCACCAACTTCAGTGAGTTTGATATGAACTTGCTGATCTGAACCAGAAGATCAAAAGGCAAACCTGGATGTTTTTCTCCTCTAAACAATGAACAAAAGATCTTAGCAAGTCAGAGTTTAAAGTGGTCAAGTTTTTCACAGAAAGCCGAAAGGGATAAGGTTTGAACATAGAAAACAACATAGTCTGCATAATAAACATCCACAACCAAGCTCGTATGGGTTTGCTAGCCACAACCTGTTTTATTAGTTTAAATGTTGAGTATGACTTGCATTTAGAAAGGAATAATGATAAATCGGCCTGGAGATAACATTTGAATATCCTACTTTAGGAAACAAGAAATCAAATACTAGGCTCAACTAATGTGTCGTGTAAAATATAGAGAAAATTAAATCTAGTTTGTTAGGTATTGGACACAGTACACTTACAACTGCCTGAAAGAAGTTGTGCCTGAAAGAAGTTGTGCTCTCAAGAAACTACGGTATGACCTCAACCAGACTTCCTTAATTTTTCAGCTTAATTTTTTAACCCAAAACCCACCTCCAGTAAGTAAACAGACTGATGCATTTAGTGTGAGACACATTATTCTTCTGTTTGGGTCTACATTTTTTTCCATACCATCCAAACTAAAGAGTAACTAATTTCAATGCATAAGTTTGCTTGAGTTATTATTACCACCAACTCTGAAAAGCAAATCTTTAATTTATAGCACCCTCAAGGCCGGGAAAATTTGTGCTTATGCCACCAGGAAGTGAAAAAGATCAAAGTTATATCTGGAAGTCTCAGTTAGGTGGTTCAAATTGTGCAAGAGAAAGGGAATGGCCTTGCTACTGTGCACAAAAAAAAAAAAAACACAATAAAAAAAACACACACAAAAAAAAAACAAACAACAACAACAAAAAAAAAACACACAAAACCAACCAACCAAACAAACAAACACCAAAAAATGGAGCTACCAAAGGCTAGGAACATCTTGGTATCCAAAAAAGTTAAAGCAGAGAGGTCTGATACAACAGAGGCAGAGCGTGATATCTTGTAATACCCATGCTGTCTGATATTTCCTCTTATTTAACACACAAGTATCAGAATTTATCAAGTTTTAGACTTTAGTTTGGAAATGGCTACACTACATTGGGGTTGCTGCTTAGGACTCAGTCCTTAGCTGCTGTGCTCATCTCTCACCTTTTAGCCACCGTGCAGTTTCTCAGATTCTGGGACAAACTGCACGTCTACCACAACCACCACTGGATGCTGGCAACCCAGGGATATCGGAGCAAACTCTGAGGGGTCAAACCTCTCTCAGTCATGGCACCTGCACCCCCCTGAAGGATGAGAAGTGTCAACACAAGAGATTCTCCTGGTTAAGTTAGGCCAGAAGAATTACTGGTATCAGGTTTTTGTGGTTTGAGGGATGCAGAAGACTCTCTAAAACAGACTCAGCACAAACAGCACTGCTGAACACAGTTTATTTTCTGAGTCGCATCTCTGCTCCACAGCCTCTGCTCATATTCACAAGAAACGATGGTATTGTACAATAGATGAAAACCTCAAAGTCTGCTTCATTTTGAGATTACTTTACACACTTGTCTTAAACTGCAAGATGCCCTCCATCTTTTGTTATACATGATGGAACCACCACTGCCTTCATAAGCATATAAAATTCAAGTGTCACAATGAAGGATTTGATAGCTTCTAGCCTTTTCTCAGAGTGATATCTGAGTGGAAAAAATTACAACACCTGAGAAAGGGAAGGAAATTCTGAAGCCACAAAAGACCATCTTCACTGGGACAGCCTGCTGTCTACTGCATGTACTGTATAGTATCAACATGGCAAAATCTCTCTGATAAAAACGGAGAGAAACTGCCCCTGCTCTGAAGTTTTATTAAACATATTTAATATTATTTTGTTGACCTGAAACTCAGCTCAAGTTTACTGACAGTTATGAACTTCTGGCAAACAGCGTTTGCTCTTATGCAAACTTCTAACAAGCTGTGAGCAAACTTGAGCCATACTCCACATTGTGGACGTCAGCAACAGTAATTCTGAAGAAATTTGACGTTTTGTTGTTAAGTACGTTCAGACGGGAGGCTCCAAACAGAATTGCGGTGTGCCAAACTATACAAAGCAGTCCAAACAAAATCTGTGTAAATCTTGACAAACTGCTGTGATCAAGACAGTTCAAGTGTAACCCAGCTTCCCGGGCACCACTAGTCGTTCTCAAGGAGTCTCGAGAACTGTTTCTCTGCCAGAAGAAACCCTATCCCTGTTGTGTTGATTCTTTCTGTGTCCCCTGTGAAGTTCTTGTGACATTGACTCAGAGAAATATGGATGGGAAACAGGCATTAAACAGGGAAATCTTGTTCCAGACAAGCAGAAGACAAGTATTTGTCCTATCAACGCCGCCCTGTATCCCCTGACACAGTGGCATAAGAAGGTACTTACAGAGGAGCAGCCCTGAAGGTAACGAGGTGAATGGTGTGGTTTAAACTTCAGATTTCTGGATATGAATCAGGGTATGAAGTTACTCTAAATAGACCCTGGGAGAGGGTTGGAGGGAGAAGAACCGTGGAACGTGACACAAGAGCAAACATGTCTAGACATAGTAACACATGTTCAAAAAAGGCTGCCATCAATAGAGTGAGGGTCTAGACAAGTGTTCCAGCAGAAAGACTGGGAGCAGGAATTTAGTCAGTTTTAAAATAAATTAGTAGAGATATATGAAGGAGCCATATGACACAGCAGCAATAAAACAAAACAGCGTTATATTACAGTCCAACTGCCCCAGTTGAAATCTCAGAATTACACGATAATAAACTGTTATCAACAGAAAATGTTACTTCAAGCACATTTTCCTTTAAAGATAGAGCTTCCCAAATTATGAAACAGAACCCTAAAATAAATAAATAAATACAAATAGATTATTATCAATTTACAAAACCTGAAAACAAAATCCACTAAATTGGACAATCAAGACAACATTCGCCCCCCTCCAAGCAGACGTCCGGACGTGACGGCGGCGCAGCACCAGCAGCCGCCGCCTCCTCACACGAAGGCGGTTTCAGGAGCGCCGAGCCCCCAGCGCCAGCCCCCCCGCCCCGGGAGCGGTCCCGCCCCGCGCAGCCCCGCGCAGCCCCGCGCAGCCCCGCGCAGCCCCGCCGCTGAGGGGTCGCGCGCTCCTCCGGCGGCTCGCTGCCGCCCCCCGCTGCCCGTCCGGCCGCGTCGCGCCTCCCCCCGCCCCGCCCCGCCCCGCCCCGCTTTTCTCACACCAACTCGCGCACGGCTGCGCGAGGCCGGGCCGCGCTTCACGGGTTTCGCGCGCCCAGGCACCCACTGGAGCCGACCGGACACCCAGCCCACGCGCGCTTCCCGCGGCCGCGCAGCCGGGCGGAGCGGGGCGGCCCTGCTCGCACGACGGCATCTGCGACGCCTCATGCCCGAGGCTCGTCAGAAACTACTGACCGCCGAGGCCTTTGGCAGGTACGTGCCAACCTGAAGAAAACTACCGGTTCTCAGAGGGTGACAGCTCCCTGCCGGCCGAATTGCCTTCGCTCCCGTCTCTTTCCCCCACTGCTGCTTGTAACAGCTGCACAAGTGATTATAGGAATTCTATTCCAACAAAGTAGTTTTAGCCCCAGTTGTCTTCCGATTTTATTACTTTTTTTTTTTTTTTTAAATGTCACTTCAGGCAACACTCATACCTGACAAATTTCTACATAAAATGTGAAAAGTTCAGCAAACTTGAAAGTGATGAAAGGAATTAGAAGTCTTCTCAAATTCAACTGAGAAGCTCAATACCAGGCTTTCCAGTAGTATGTTGACTTTTTAAATCTAGCCCTTCAAAAATACCTTCAAAGCTCTTTCATAAAATCCTTATTTTCACTTTCACTAGACACATGCAGCACAAGCCCTGAAAGCTACAATCTGCCTGCCACTGTTATCTGCCTTATATAGGGGTTTTGCTACCTATAACCACTCCTGTAACTTCTAAAAAAATTTTTTCAGAAGTCTTAACAGAAATTTCAATGTTTATTTAGCAGTAGTACTATCAGAAGCTTTGCTTTCATCAAAAGGTAACAAATGTCATTATTCTGGCCTGACCTGACACTTTTAAAGAGCTAGAATTCACATTCAGCTTCTGTACGACATGACAGAAAATGAAGTATGTCATGGCAGTTTCTAGTGTTTAACATTACTTGGGTTTAGTTTAATGTTGAACATTGTCAGATCTGGCACTCAAGGAACCACTGGAAATATCCTTTCTTCTTGTTTCTTTTTATTAAGTACTAATTCTTTTTGAAGTGGAAGTTTTCTTGTTTAACCAAACTTGCTACCTTTCCCTTCTTCACAAAACTCCCATTATTCTCTCAGAGTAAATAAACAGTCATAAACAATATACCCCAGAGTGTATACAATAAAATCCCTTGGGAAAAGAAGACTGGTGACAGAAGAAGCAGAAAACAACAGATTCGGGGAGAGTATCACTTTAGTCAAAGCATTGCAAGATAAAAACATCTATCTAATATTGTGGGTGAGCCAAGAAAAGAAGCTTGGGTGACAAAAACTTTAAACCTGTTAGGACATACTGACTAGATGGGGAGTTTGGAGAATGAAGTCAAGAGAGGAGAAGTAGATTTGAAATTCCTCTAAGCAGATGGACAATATGCCAAGATATGTAATGTCTGATGATATCACAGCAAACAACAACAAGGAAATAATCGTCCAAAAGCATAAAAATAGAACTCACTGAATAAAAATCACTGAATGAAGAGCTGGCCAAAAGATGCTGAAAGAAAAAAGTTGGATGGAAAGCCCTTTTTACCATCATATAGATCCCGGCTTCCTCCCACCCAGAATCTTTAGGATCAAACACAGTCTGTAACAATTCAAGCTTCACTGATTTAAAAACTAAATGGCACCAGTATTTTTTACTAACACGTGCTTCCTGAGTCCCTCCTATTAATCAGCTGTTCACGTTCCTTTACCAGAAAGCACTGACGGGATTTAAAATAACCTGAATTATCTCTCAATGGCACATTTGTTTTAAAGAAGGCTGAAGTCAAGCCTTGGCCCAATTTCTAATGTACCCATAAAATGGCTGAGGAATAAATTTCCAGAGCCAAGAGTTCCCTTCTGCAGATTAAGTCCGGTTTTCAGTAAAATAAAGAGGTAAAAAGGTAAAAGTGCATTCAAAAGTCAGGTATGTAAATCTCAACAGCATTTACATCTCTGAGAATAAAAAATTGTGCCAAAAAAAAAGGAAGTGTATGCATTTCCAGTAAATGGCTTCTAAGCATTTTTCTCCAATTTTGGGATTTGTGTGTAGATTTAGTCAGCCATTCTTGGAACTGTCAAGATACTTAACTATGCAAAAATTAAGGGCTTTATCTCATATTTAATTCTGTCTGTAATTTTACATTATTTTTTCTCTCTTTCTAACTTCTGACTTAAAGCAGGGGCACTGTTTTAGAATTCAATCACACCATGGAAGTGTCATTTTAATGGAGATGAAAGAGCAATATTAACTGACATCCAAAGCTTCTGGCAAACAGAACTGCACGGGAGTGAGCAATGATTGAGATCTTAATCACTTGTCGGCTGTCGCATTGTGATGACTTGCATTTTCAACTAATCTGGCTTGAGTAATGAGTGAAATTTCTAGCTGAGTGGTGATTGGCATTCTCTGAATGAATCCTTTCCTCATATTTCATTTACATGGGTGACTGATCACATCCAGTATATGAAAAACTGACATGTGTTAATTGAACAGATTTGTGACAGGTGATTAGCTCTACTTTCCTGAAGAGTCCTAGACCTGTTTAATTGTTTAAAAATGATAAAACTTTTTTTCATCATCACTGTCGGCCCTCAACTCTTAAGACTTGAACGTTAGGAAATGGCTTCAAAGGTACAAACTAAAGCTACACGAACCCTGTAGTCTTTGATTCCTGACAGTTTCTCTTTGTTTCACTGCCTTTTTGGGAGGAAGAGAAGGAAGAGGTGAAGGGCTAAACAAGAACCCATTTGGGAAGAGGAGAGTGCCTCTGAGGTCAAAGACCTCTTCCTTCTTTGAGTATTCTTTTAAGTCATTCTTTGAAACTTTCCAAACTACATACTGAAAAATGAAGGACATTAGAGCTTTGAGAAAAAAAAAAAAAATAATCAAGGAATTAACAGGAAAACTCTACCAGATGCTTGACAATCAGCTCAGCCATATGTGCTGAAAGCTGAACTTCTTGGTCTAACTGTGCAAGAGCCATCCTGTTACGGTACCGAGAGCCAAAAACACAGGGAACACCAGTTCTCACGGAAACTTGCTGCCCTGTCCCAAAGCAGAGCAGAGCACACCTCAACATCCCAAGAAACCATGCTCTAGCCTAGGATCTCAGGTTTCTGGGATATGAACACCAAAACCAGAACACCTATAGCCACTTATTCCTGTAGGGCCAGGAGCCCGGGGACCTTGGAGATAACCTGCAAGGACAGGGTCCTCCAGAAGTCTGGCTTGAGCCGGGCCGGCAACAGCTGCAGGACAAAAACAGCTCCCAGAGGGACGACTGGCACAAGACTTGGAGCTTTGAAGCCCAAGCCAGAGACGGACCAAGGCAGAGGCTGCAGGAGAGCGAAAGGACAGGGGATCCTCCCTAACCTGCAGAGAGTCAGCACCACACAGGGCTCACGGGAGCGTATTACATGGCAGCAGCATCACATATTAGAGATCCTGGGAACAGAATTTTGGATAATTTTTAGTTTTCAGGGAATAGGAAAGTTTAGATATTACCTACAAAACAGAATGGACAAGTTTTGGGCAGCTCCACTCTCTCTTCTATGCCAGGAGGCCCACCACTACCTGAGGCTGGGGGACAAATAATAATACACCTACAATTTTTCCTCTGAGAAAACTAGAAGCTGCCAGTCAGATGCTTGCTGGTAAGAGCAGCCAACAAAGGACTTTTGACTATTCAGATAATCACCTATTGTTGTCATTCCTCTATGCTAACTGCTGCCCATCCAAGCTTCCTGCTTTGCCCTTAGCTTCATGCCAGACGTATTTTCTCTTCTGCTTTGCCTCCTCCAATTCTCTCTCATAAAAATGTTCTTTTCGAGATCATTTTCCATTTAGCTTATCCTTTCCTAATTCTTGGCTGATTTTTTTAGATATTACCGTAACAATAAATACCTTCTTTGTCTCAGCATTAGCAGTTCCACAAGATCGTATGAGGACTACAGCAGCCACAGCTGGCTACAGTGACACTTCTTACTCAGCTAGACTGCGGCTTCTTCCCATACAAACAGAAGTTCCTATTTAGTTGTTGTCAGACTAACAGAGGAAGGCAACAGCTGCAAGGACAAGTTTGGTGCAGTTTTAAGGAACTTATGACACTGAGGTTGAATAGTTTCTTTCATTATAGATTGATGACTGTGATAACTAAGTAAATATTCTGGAAAATTTCCCATGCTCTTCAGAACACAGGCTTTAGAGAATTTGATAAATTTATGCAATTACTGTGTCATTTCCCTTGCTAACCAGTTGCCTTTTCACTGATGAAGATCTTGGAATGAAACTTTAGTGATCAACTTTGATGTGTCTAAGCCAAGGGGCAAAAGAGCAAAAAAGCAAATACATGGTTATGCTTAACAATCCTTAAATGTGGTACACACAAACTCCCCAAGAAAATACATGTCAAAGAATACACTGATGACAGTTAATGGCAAACAACTAAATAATTCATGCAATAGTATATAGGTGATGTGTGGGAAGAATAGAGGATTAATGACATCATAATGCTTGTAGTGAGAGATTCTTTCTTTTATCGGAGACACACATTTGCAGAAATACAGGCAAGTTTTTGAGACTGCATGCTAGACAAATTTTGCTTCGTTTACATCCAGAGACTAAAGTACCAAATGAATTTTAGACTACAGAAAATAAGAAATTATTTAATTTTGTAGTAACATATCTGTTAAAAACTCACCTAATTCAATATCTCTTATCCCCATGTATGTTTCAAGAAGCTCATCCACTTTTTTAATTGCTTTTTCTTCAACTCCAGTTGGCTTTGTTGAAGTAGAGGGAAAAAAAAGTATGGTTATATCTATGCAGATTTCAAAATAACCAGCAATTCACCACTGGTTATCCTTCCATCCTAGCCACCTAGACTTACAAAACCTACAAGTAAAACATGTTATTCCACTCTTTCCCTCTTCTCACAAACCTGAGCCTTCCTCCTAATGTCAAGACACACAGCTCTCACATTCAAATTAAACAGGGACCTTACATCTCCTGACAATTCATCAGTTCCTCATCATCTTTAGAGGAATCCAGAATAAATAACACTTCTTCCTAATCCTGGTTCTGCAAATATTCATGTCAATGTATATTCTTAACCTCTACTAACAACACACCTTACACCAGCACAGTACACTTTGGAGGGTCAGAAACAGAAGCAACTCTTCAACTGTCCCACCTCTATTTTTTCCCCCCTTCCCTCTTTTCAACACTCCTTGGTCTAATCTACTTTAAATTCATCCATGTAACCCATGACATCTAAATACAGGCTCCCTGTTTCCAGATTCCTCAGCCCCTAGTCTGCTAGAATATCCCTGCTAGTCTTCAATTTTATATAAACATTTCTCCCTGCAAAAGGCAGTCATCTTAAGTCCTGCAAGCTTTGTTACATCCAGATTTTTCTTTCCTACTTTACCTTGCCAACCCTGGGGAAGAATAAATCAGGTGTTAGATGATTAAACTGCTGAAGGACCCCAAGATAACCGTACCATTTCCTCCACGGTAGCAGGGCCTTTGGTTCTCAGCCGAAGTGTTTCTCTCCCTCTGGAGATTTTAGCCTCTGGCAGAGTTCCACCTTTGGACCTTGGTTCCAGCTTTTCTGAAGACAAAACAAACAACAACAACAAACGTAAAAGAATACCAAACAAAACTAAGTATATTGTATGAAAGAATATGATATATCTGCTTTTGCTATTGCATTACCCTCACTTTTTGTTCTAATCAAGACCTAGATCTATGTAAAAATTTAATTATAAATTAACTATATTCTAAGTATAGGTTTGCTGACAGTTTCTTGTCATCAAAGTTTGATATCCGCTTGACTGCACTGAAGCTAGGACTTCCATTGAGCAATATATCTATGCAGACCTATTGCACTCAACTTCATATATGCACTTTGTATAATTTTATTTCCCTATTTTATGGAAAAGTAGATTTATTACTTAATACCAGATAATGGCTGGAGTTACCAGCCAAATGCTACAGCAGACTGTGTAGCAGGTTTTAGCATTGTAACACTTCTGTCTTTCACTGATGCAATGCTGCAAACACTACTGCTAAACAGGTCATGATGAGCCACATTGAGCTGAGCTAACAATTTGATTACTAACAGTCACATAGGTGAAATGTTCATAAGTAGATCTGCAGGAGTTTTTCCACTGGTTTCACCGAACTCATGATTTCACACCTGATAAATCTCTACCAAGAATATCTGGGTTTTCTTTACATGATTTCAGCTTTCATTGTTTAATCTTGGGTATAGGCACTCCATTTATTAAATGGAGTATGGAATCAGTTAAGATTTGGCTTTCTTGTTCTAGGACATAATTTTACATTCAGTAGTAGCAAGGCTTTAATTTACTTACTGACATGGGAGTTATATAGTTAATCTGAAAAGTGCTAGAAGAGGGGAAATGATTTTGCAGAACCATTTTTAACTGTGATTTTTTCTCTACCAGATTATTCCTCCTCTTAACATCAGGCCTTTCTAATAATCTGTCCTTGAAGCAAGAATTTAACATGCTATATTAATTTTGCCCAGGTAGATTCCAATTCATCATTCTTGTGTTAGTAATCAAAAATCCAGATTATTCTGCTGAACAAGTCTTGAAAAGTAAATTTTAATTGTTTTTATTTTAACAAATAGATATGGCACAGTCTCTTACATATATACTTAGTATCAACACTTTGGCTTAATCCTTTTATTGCTTGAAGGATAGTTTAAAACATCCTTAAGATTGTCATAATTTCTAGACTTGTTTCAAAAAGTCATTCCTGATACAACATACATATTTTTTCTAGTTCTGTTACCATTAATACCGTAGAATTCATGATCTGACATAACCTGTATTCGTAATACCTCAGACCAAAGCTCTCTGGCCACCACAGAAACTATTTTTCATATTAATGTAATTTAAATATAGTATTTGTGTTATGCTGCCTTTACTTTGCTTCTACTAATTTTTCACCAATTCACAGAGAACCAGCTTGTGACTGGTAAGGACCAACCTTATTCAGACAAGTCTTTAGTTCTGTGCTACAAGCCTTGCCTAGAGTAGCTGAGGCAGCCTGTGTGCACATGATAGAAAGATATCTAACCTGTAAATTATACTTATTTCACATTCTCCTGAGAAGAAAAATAAAAGTTAGTAATTTCACACAGAGGTTTGTCTCTTATTTCCATACTATCACCAACTTGTGTTGAAACTAACAGGAATTCAGCACCTACTTGTCCAGCAGGATCTGAATCTTATTTGTTACCTCCTTTGGGGCTATTCTCAGCATGCTGCAGCTTAAACACCATCTTGAATAAATTTATGCCTAATGCTTAGCTGCACCTAAGGCTAGAGGTGGGATATTCTAACCTATTGGGCACTGCAACTTGTAAATTAATTTCTGTAGGGTAAAAAAATAACATGCATCTTCCAGAAATCTGCCCAAAAAGCTCTGATCACCTCTTAATCCAGTGTCAGATGAAAAGTATTGCCATGGAATTCACAGGTTTCCTTCTCTACATCACAGGCAGACTAAAAGGTATCTTAATTACCTGACTAAAGTAATTACTCTTAAATAATGGCTGAAGTCATCAATCAAATGCTGATTTACCCTGGTCTTTACAAACAGACTATGTAGAACATTTAGCATTGCATACAAATTATAGACCCATATTAAAAAGGTATTCCTATATTATTAATTGCAGTACTATACATATGTAACACTACTTTAGTGCAATGTATAACACACACATTTACTTAACAGGAGTATCAACTTATATCCAAACACATTAGAGATTAACTCATAAACCTCATTCTTCACAGAAGCACCAAAAGCAAAAAGAAATCTTTAAATTCCTCTCATTTTCAATTTCTGCTGCTATTCTGACACCAAGTGTCAAGACTGGTGTATGACAGCAGTTGTAAACTACTAACAGGTAAAAACAGATTTGAATAATAAACATTTCAAATTCTTGCTGCTGTGGTGATTTTGAACTTGTTGTTAGTGCAGGTGTGCACAAGGACTCATACACACTTACAATTTAGAAATATTTTGAAGTTTTTATTACAGAAAAATGCTATGTAGTCCGGGGAGAATATAAAAAATTGAGAGAATAAAAATTAGAACTCAGTCTCTATTTTGACTCCCTGAGTTAAACCTGTTTTGTTCACCACACTGATGAAATTCATATACATAAGAATTAGTAGTAGGTATGCATTTGTCCTGTATAAGTATCACTTTCTCATAGAATGCAGGTGGTAGGTAGAGACAGATCTTTGCCATACTGCTTTCTTCCAATTCTGAGTATACGTGTTGTATGATTAGAGATCCACAAAAAAGTTGGGGAGAGGGAGAGCTGGCAGGCATGCAGCAAAGGAGATGCTCTAGAGAATCCCAGACAATGTTTCCTGTAGCATCCTTCTGCATTAGAGAGCCCAGTCCCCAGTAAAGGGTACAGAAATAGAAGTCAGACACACAAATGAACAGGAATTACGTATCAATAGAGGAAAAGAAGATGTTCAAGGATCAGCACATTAGTGAAGTGATCCATGCTTTAAAACTGTGTCTATGAAACAATTCCTGTACTTATTTTGCATGGTCATGTCGTGGCAAAGGAATCAAGCAACTGAGACTCAGGCTGAGGCAGCCCACGCCGGGATGACTGCTGGAGAAAGCAAGATGGAAGAAAAGCCATTCATAAGTTTCCCACTTAAAAGAAAAAAAAAAAAAAAAAAAAAAAGAACGTTCTTGTAGCAGTTATGTTACCTGGCTACAATCTGAAAACAAACTTACAATGCAATGCAATGTTGGGGTTTCAAAATCCAATGAACAAGGTGGACAGCCAGGTCACTCACCAAATGCTTTCATAGGCTCTATCAACTCCAGCTTAAACATCTGACCTTTCTCCAGATCTTTTAGCATTTTGGCAACTTCATAATGCCGACAATCTGACACATTTTTTCCATTTATAGTCTCTATGTGATCACCCACGCAGACCATTTTGATTTGGTCCATAGGGCTACCTTCTTTGATTCGCTATTGTTTAAAAAAAAAAAAAAAAACAAACAAAAACAACACATCACAATTAGAAACATTTCCTTATGAGGTGACACGACAGAGTTTCAAGAATGTTAGTTAACAACAACATAACCATTATTTATCATTACTATTACTTATTATACCAACAGTGTGTTTTGCCTAAGATTTTCATAAAACATATTTTGGAAAGCATTATTTTTTGAAGTATTTTAATAAGCATTGAATATAAAATCAATAGAAAAAAATATGCAATCATACCTCAGAAATTAAGGCCTCCAAATAAGCTAATATTTTTGTGCTTTAAAACTGAACCCAAATGTGTCAGTAACGTGAACATTTAATTGAGTTTTGGGGTTTTATTTGAATAGCTTGACAAGAACAGATACAGAACTTCTCTCAAGTACAGCCCAAGAACATAAAAAAAATGTGTGTGATAAACTAAAATCACCTCTAGTGATAAAACTTCTACCATTTTCCTCATTAAGCTATACAGCTGCATATTAAAGTATTTTCTCTGAAATAACAATAAAGAATAAGAAATTATTCTAAATGCTGTCTCATGAAATACAAATACAAATGGTCGAAAGGTCATAAGACATAACAGAAGTTAGTATTTATAGGTTTTGTGAAGTGGAATTTAAAAAGTGAGAAAAAAAATCTTTAGAAGATGTCTATGATTTATCAAGTCAATCAAAGGACACTTTAGATTTCAGTGATTCTGTTTATTGTTGTTATATATTGTCATCTTTGTTTATCATGTGCCTAAGTTATGTAAGCCATTATCCTATGGCTATTTAATAGAAAAGCTATGACATAGTAGAATATCTTTTATTTTGTAGAAATATGAATTTCATTCTAGTATCTTCCTGAATAACATACTTTTCAATAAAGACTGATGTTGTTCAGGCTAACTTTGAGTGAGATAACAGTGAGACAAGGGAGATAAACATATTGCCACCTACTACTATAACACCTATCCTAGCTGCATAACTATCTCAGAAACCTGCTACTAGTTTATGTGCGCATGTCTGAGCCCACATATGTGCCTCCATCTGAGAGAGTCAGTGGGAAGTGTGATAGTGCTCAGTGTCCTATAATATACCGCAACGGTTTTTAGCTTCACTCCGAGTTTAACTCTTTCTAGCACTTTTTTCTTTAATTTAGATTAGAACAAAAAAGCAGATTCATGGTGAATGAAGAGAGGGGTATCATACACACACCAGAAACCCAGTCCCATATGTATTTCTCTTCCCAGGTGCTAGGATTCAAAAGCATGCCCATGAGACTCCAATTAATGTTTAGTCTTCATGTTGAATTAATTTTCATTTAGCTTTTCTTCTTCACTTGGATCCTAGTACCAAAACTGTATAAGTAATATTCATTGGCTATGTTATTTGTGTCACGTCAAACTTTTTTTTCATATGACTTAACCTTTATCATCACTTAAGGTAACTGACCAGTGATAGTCAAGCTACGTTGTCACAGTAATTAAGATACAATGATAAGCCTGTATTTCAAGCGCTCTACAGTCCATTTAGAAGCTAGGATTTATATTTCCTATGCAATGCCTAAAATTAATTGCACCACCCCATTCTATAATGTTTCATACACCAGTCAGTCATGCTTCAAGTTCTACTGTTATTCTCTGAAGGGCTAATTTGATTCCATAATACATTTTCCCATCTGGCCATGTACCCAAAAAACAAATCTGTGAAAGTAGAATGACACCAAATTTTGTTCTTAGTGAGGTGAAACATTACATCCTCATAGGAAAAGAACCTGCATTTCACAGTGTCAGGTTTAAAAACTGGCCAGGTTATATTTCAAACCTAGAAACTGCCCTGTTATTCAAAATGTAATAAAATTACTACAGCCCATAATAGCTTTCAACAACCCACAGATAGATAAATTTAATATTAATTGTTAATTAATAATAAAACATAACAATTTTTCAAGGAAAGTAAATATATAAACAAAACAAATTCTATCAAACTTAAAAGTAGAGACAGTCTTAATCATTTACGTAGACAAACAAGGACAAAAAAGATGCAGCTTTTACTTTTGCTTATGTATTTTCTATGCTGTTTTAAAAAAATCCTTTGGCTAAATATGCAACAGCAAAGTAAGCTCTTAGAAACTCCTTTAAACTGATGCATTCTCACAAAGACTGCACCATTTTCATTATACTGTTTATTATTAGACCAGGACAAGGACAATGATCTATTTGTTCAGACAAGCTTTATACAATTTACTGGAAATTGCAGCTTGTTCTGAAGATGTGTTGAGGGTTTTCCAGTCTGCTCCAATTATGCAGTAGTCTGTGTGATGGCTGTTCTCTCTCTCCGTATTACCAACCAAGCAAAGAGCGAGTCACCCCCTGTACAGTGCTGCACATGCAAACTTTAATCACTGAAGCACTGCTTTCAACACCTTCTTCTTAAATGCCACATAAGCAGCAGCATGACTGAATGTTATGGGCCGCATGGATGCTACCACTAGAAATTCAGAGTTCTGTGTCTGTAAGCATAAAAATGAGGCTATGATTTTGCCAAAATGCTTACTGAAACCTCCACTGCATCTCGACTTTCTCAAGTGTGATCTCAATCACATTTTTCCACAACAAAGACAAGCAAACGTATTTCTAAACCACGTCTTGTTTTATATCCATGGTAGCTAAGGAACGAATAGAGACTACAATCTCTCCATACAAGAAGCTCTGTTTAAAATAGCAATGAGAACAGCAGTTGGAGCAGTGGTAATCGAAGATAACTGCCAATGCCTCACTAATAATGGATAATTGGAGTAGATTAGAGCAAAGCATCTAAAAAAGGCAAAAAATGTGATTAAGGGTCCTAATACCTAGTCTAGCAGGAAGCGTAGCATCGTTTCCTCAGCCTCCACTTGTCTCAAAACATACTATCTGGAGGTCATATAGAAGATGAGGAGGAAGGCAAGTGTGATTAATATATTGTACATGTTACTGCCCATAGTTGCAACTCAAGTTGTGGTAAATTGTGTTAATCCATATCCTTAGCACCTTTTAATTCACCCTACCTATCTAAGGCAAAAATATTGGAAAGCTGAAAAAGCACTATACTTGCACTTAGTCTTATACAGCACAAATGCTTCTGCCTTGTGAACAGTCATAGACTGAAAGAACATGATCTCATTATCACATGAGTGACAAGGGTTCTATAAGCACCTAATCAACGACATCAGAAAAATCACTTAAAAAGGGAGGGGGCAGACTCAAGCATCTAACACCTACCACCTCAGGATAGGTCAGGAAATACAATGGCCACATTCTAAAGCTGATACACATTACGGAAGCAATGAACAAATGAACTAATTTTGAATGACAGGCAGTACAGAAATAGCTGAACTAATTTTGAATGATGTACCCTCAAGAAAAGCGACTATTTTTTACTTACCATATATATTATAATTAAAGATTTTTTAGTTTTAAAGGATCATTAAACCAATAATTAACCTGTTACAGTAACAGAAGCTTCTATAGGACAATGTATTTAACTGGTATTTGAATTTACCTTTATAAACGGGCAGCCCGTTCCATTGTCTGTAATGGTAAGCCCAAGCACATCATCAGTTTTAAGAATTTCCACTTCTTTTCGTTGTCCTTTTATGTGGGCAAATATGAAATCTTCAAGGCCAATTTGTGCACCTAAGAGCTTGTCCATATCGGCTTTATGAGTGTTCAAAGTGCAAAACATAATCTGTGCAGGAGGCAAGCAAACACATTATCTTTAGTAGTATATTAGGTTTGGTGAGCTTCATAGGAAGGTAAAAGGAGAGCACAGTTCTGGCCTCTCTGACACATCCATAGCTGAAATTATGATAACTCTCCTTCTCCAGCTGTCCCAGGGGAGGTAACAGTCTCCATCCATGCACACGACAGGAAGCATCAATAGCTCAAACTCTGCAGACAGGAGCTGGCAGGGAGCAAAGGAAAGAGGCAAATCTGTGTGAGCCGCCTTTCACAGCCTGTGTTAGCACACCAACTCTGACACAGGCACCTTGAGCTAGAGCAGAACAGCTTGTTCCACAGGTGACAGTGAGCAAACCAAAGAGCCACCACCATCTTTTGCTTCACCATTCCCCCACCTCAAATTCCACAGGATTCAAACATCACTAAGGATTGCTTTAAAACATAACTGCTTGAAAGCAGTTTCATGGGAAAAAAAAAAGTTTATCAAAGCAAAAGGGTTGTGAGACAGCATGAAATGTTTTATATTGCTCCACGTGTTCCCCCATTAGCTAGGAGCACATTGTCTCCAGTGGGTTTACTTAGCTTCCCACCCCTTCTCCAGCATAAGTGGGGGTCATCTCTGTTCCAGCTTAGTAAAAAGCAAGGCTTAAGAAAAAGGTCAAATTGGTTCTTTATAAATCAGCCTTTCTGAACGATTTCCCTTCAGCACTGAGTGTTAGGCACCCCTTTTTCTCCCTACATTTACGCTACTAGTTCTTTATTGTCCTGGGCATAGGCAGGATGAGACTAACCCATCTGCACAGTGTTAGTCTCAGGGACAGTAGACGATGCTTTTGCCTACCATGGTGCTGCATGGAAGAATCTGGCCAGTCCGGGCAGGCTCCAGGCTTTCTGCTTTTTAAGTACAGACTGTACTGAACAGCCTAGCCAAAAAAACAAAAACAACCAAACCCAGTGCTCTCCCTCACGGCCAGAGTAACTACCCCTGCCCGACTCCTTTCCAAGCTGTAGCCAGAGAGGAGTGAGGGCTGTGGGAGGCCCCACACAGCCACCTCCTGGGCAGCACCCAAGAGCAGCAGCCAAAATAAAGAAACTCTGCTCTCCAAGAGAAACTTGGACAATCCCTAAAATCTACTTCACTGAGGCAAAGATCATCCCTAAAGACCATCTTTCACATGTAACTGGAAACAGGGGAAGAGGAGGAGACTTGCCACCCCGTTTGGTTCTTCAACAGGGGTGGCAAAGCCACAGCTGCAAACCATCACAAAAAGGCTCTGCTGCCAGGAGTATGCCCATGGTTCTGACAGGAAAAGAGACAAAAGTAGATACTTTTCTACCCCCTGCCTATATCTGCTGGACATTATTTTCCTTCAGAGCACAGCTTGGACCCCCTTGTAGCCCATTGCCTACACCAGCTCCAAATTAAGAAGTAGTAAAAGCAGTGCCAACACATGAAAAAAAGAACACAGTGGGAAGCCAGTCTAGCATTTGAGAAAAAACAGCAGCAGGATGTCACTCCGTGTCCTTCATCTTTGCTACGGCTGTAGTGGCAGTCCCTGGGGAGCGGCAGGCCAGGCCAGCTGACCCAAAACCCAGGCACAGACCTGTGCCCGCAGCCTGCCAAACCTCCCAGTGCTTCACTGGAAATGGAGGGTGGTCTCCTTCCACCTTCCCAGCTTCCCTCACTGCACTTGCAAATGTTACAGGGTTTTCTGCACAAGAACACTTCAACTGCCTTTTCTTTCCTTCCAGCATCACTGGATGACAGCAGAAAAAATTAAATGAAAGTCACCAACCTATTCAAGTCTATTCCAGGTCAAAAGAAGAGTGCATACTTTTCCTAATGTATTTCACAAAGGGCATTTAAGTTTCTGAAGCTTTCTAGAACTTAGATTCTGTAACTATTGTGGGCTTTGGTTTTAAAAACTGAAATTTTAGTAGTGAGATGGTATTTATTGATGAGGAGGGGCTTGTTTAGTGGTTGTTTAAAAAACAAGACAAAACAACCGAACAGCCCTATTTCAAAGGCTAATTGCTTGTCTCATATAATCCATCAAACATCCATTGCAATCTAATGCCTTAACAATGATAGCACAGCTTATAATAGCACAGCCCTTAACAAACATTAGTTTTATTCTCTCAGGTAATGAAAAGTTTTTCAGTTAACCAATACTCAAGCAGTAACATCACCTAGAGAAACTCAGCTGGCTGTAGGTAGAAAATTAAATTTTATTTTATAAACAATAATCTCTAATCATCAGCATTTTTTTTTAACCAAGAAGGTTCAATTCAAAAAGACTACATAAAGTTCATATATATGTTTTCAGCTCTCTCTCAATCTATGCAGTAACTTGGCCAGTTTACAAATGCAACTCAGTTCTTATTCTTACAAGGAACAAAAAGCATTATGTCTTTACATTTTAGACATTAGCATCCTTCATCTGACCTTGTCAAACAGACAATCATCTAGTAACTACTGTCACACTTCTGAATAGATAAAATTGGCAACAGAGCAGAAATGTGATATTTAGAAACTCGATCCAGAGTTTCTCTATTTAGACCTTCATCTGGATGGCATTCCTACTACAGCCTATAAGTCTGCAGAATTTTCTGTGAGTCAGTTCTATGCTAACCACAAGGCTGAGAGAGCATCAGCCAGTCAAAAATAAAACTGAAATCATTCTGTATCCTCTGTAGTGAACAACTGCTTTTTCTCAGAACAGATATATGCGGAGAGTAATGTACTAAACATGTATCTACCCAGGATAATATACAATTACACCATCTATCAGCTAGAGCACAGCTTTATTTGTGCATGACTGAGATGTCAATTTAAAAATTACATTTTTTCATAGATTTTACTTGAGTTTGATATAGGTACCCAATAACAGCTTATATACTTAAATACTTAAACAACATCTGCTATAGTACACCTTCCATTCACTGAAATCTTGGTATATTTTTAATAGTAATTTTCTTACCCAGAAATTCAAGACAAAAATTCAATGTGAAATTTTCATTGTTAAGTCTTTTCTCTGTCTTCCTACCCTCAACCTTCACATGCATTTGATCTTTAACTCAGCATACCAGCGCTGTGTCATTTCATGTCAACTTTAGCAAGAAATTATAAATCATAAGTGCTACATCAGTAACGAAGTATCTAGCATACCTTCTTCACTGATTCGGCTGGCAGGGACTGGGGGTTTGTGCACAACCTTATAAAACAGGTTTGTCAGATAAGATTACTAACAGATTATTCCCTGCCTCAGTATTTTCAATAGGAAGAGACTACATTAGCCAATAAAACTGGGGTTCCACTGTGCGTTATATAAAGGAACTATATTAGCTAAGAAGAAGAGGGTTACAGTATATGCTATATAAAGTATATATGCAGTACCACATTGCATACCCTATATAAATTACATTTGTATCTTCCATATGAAGCCTACACCTTGAGAAGAACTCAAAAATAAGTTGACTGACAGATGACATACTCAGAAGCTATTAAAAGTGCTTTTAAAATTGGTAGGTCTTGGATGACTTTACAGAGATCATAATCACTTTCTGTATTTAAGAGGTGAGGAAACGAGAATTCTACTTCTGAGCAAGATATAACACCCACTGACATCCCTATATAGGTAGACATCATTACATCAAGGAATCACCAACACATTTTCTAGATACTTTACTCAATTTATCCTCCCTGGGGAAAATGTAGGAGCCTTGGCTAGCTGCAGCAACAGGAAGAATAACCAAGTCCTCCAACTTCTAGTGTGCTTTTGGTACTCTATCAGGTATTCAACTTTGCCTCCCCAGGTACATTCAAAGTACTATAAAATAAGCATTCAGTGTTTGATTGTTCTTTTTTTAAACCCAGAGCACACAAGAATTACAGCGTAAATTCTTCCACACAGCTTAAAAGTATTTGAAAACCAGATCATTGACACAGCAATACAGGTGTGAAATTGAAGTACTGCTTAGGGGAACAGCAAGCAAACAATTGTTGCCATAGGGTTGGGAGGAGGTGTTTTGTAGGGAGTGTTAAGTTTGTTCATTTAAAGTCTTCAATCTGTAAACAAGATTGTGAACAATTATTTTGATAGATAAGCATACACTCTAAAACTTTGAGCATTGTGGTGATGAGGATTTCACAAGCTGACCCTTTCCTCTAACCTCCTAAAATACACTTCAGATTTCTTCTTGTTATAAGGTCACTTTTATTCAGAAACCTAAGTTTCAGCAGTGGCTTAGTTTTCAGTATTCTTTCATAAAAGTTTAAATTGAACAGGTTTAAATCAAATATGTCTGTGAAAGTTTAATGTGGCACAGCTTCATAGTATAATTAACTGTTTAGTATGAGGACGCAAGGCCCAGGGAACAACAGCCCGCCCAACCACAAGCTCAGCAGCTGAACTCTTGTTACGAGAAGAGGCAGAGGGAGATGCATTTCTGCCCTTGGTGTTACCAGGAAGGTCTCCATTTTCCTGTATGCCCTTTATGAAGCAAAAATCCTTCCACTGTGAAAGAAACCCCAATCTCCATGGGCTCTTAACAGACACACCCGCTGAGCATTCAACTTACCTCACTAGCCCCACCATACTTCACCTTCCAAAGCAAACAAAATAATCAAAAGTGCAAATTATGAGTACACAAACTGAAAGCCCATAGAGCCTCTACAGTTTATCATTCCCTTCTCAGATGATCAGGAAATACCCCTGCTATAGTTGGACTTTCAATATCATTGTTCCTGGTACCCAATTAGCTACTTCAAATACTTTAAAGCCCTACAGGCTTTAAAAGGTGTGCTCTCACAGGAGCACACCACCACCAAATGCTTTTAACAGGCCCACATTGTCCTTTGGTCAGTGCTCATTTATTTATCACACTGGCTGCACTTTGCATTTTAACTCTTACAGGGAACATAACACTCCCTGCTACATTTCCCAATAGTCACAGTGGAGTAGTCATCCTAAATGGCCAAGACCACACACAAATACTTTTTCCAACTACTTTTTCTACTTCATCCTCTATAGAAAAAAAATGAGGAGATATTTGTATTATTTATGCAAGTAGAAACATACACATAACTGTGTATGGGTTGTGTTGCTAGTTAAGAATTGCATCTGGGGGTTTTTTTGGTGGTTTGTATTTTTTTTTTTTTTTTTTTTTTAGCTCTGTGCTTCCTTGTTGAAATCCTGTTGAAGAAATTAAGTTAAAAGTCAAGAACAATGAGATCTACCTCAAACAGCACTCATATAAATGATATAGGCAATTCATTGCTAGAAGCCATCCTCACTCCTTCTCCCTGAAGAACATTCACATTGAACCAGGAAAAGAAAAAATACCGGTCATGGTAAAGGTCAGAGAGGTAGGCAGAAATGCAGGTGAATGTCAGGTTCAAAAGAGATAACTGAGATATATATTCACCTATGAAGACAGATAAAGAATAAAATACCTAGGCAAGAAAAGATGAGTATAGGAAAAGTTTCAAAAAGCTGCTGTTATGGCTCACTCCTTCACAGATGCCTACCAAACATCACAGGAGTGGAAGAGTGTCCCCTTTGAAGCTATACCTGTCTTGTTCTGTCCCCATCCCACCCTACTCATGATCCAGGTCTGCCCACAAGTTTTTGTCAGTGCCTGTCCAACAAATACTGTATTTTATACAAGCTTCTTTCTGTCACTGTTGGCAGTCAATCACAGATCCTGGAAAGGATTCTCCAGCAGAAGCTGAACTCAGCTGGTCCTGCGAGATATGATACAAAGAGGAAATGAGATGCTGTAACCATGTGGGGTCGAAAGGAGAAGTGACAGACGACAAGTATAGCTCATCCTGAACCATACTAAAACACTTAAATAGGATCCAAGAATCCATACCCTTGTCTACACTGCAGTAAACTCACATATCCTATTAAATGTATTCACTTCTGCAACAGTTATCCAAATGCTCTCTACACTGAGCTCTTCCCCTCCCTCCCCCTCCCTATTTTCCACCGAAGCCACCACAGGGCAGAGATCTCTTTGATAGTACCTGTTTCCGAAGGCATTCAGGTATCACACTGCCCATAGGCTTCAGCATAGCTAGGTCACAGAAACTTTCCTAGACAGATAACACCTACAAATGGCATTTGAGTACCTTACTGTCCTTCAGTTTGATGAAGTGCAGCTTCTGGCATTATTCTTTACACCACACTGTCTGTCCAAAAGCAGCTTTAATAAATAGATCATACCATTTAAAATGTCTAGTCTTTCCTTACTTCCAGCAATCTCAGCAGTGGCTAATATTTTCATGTTTCATGGCACTCCTTGCTATTCACTGATCCCTCCTATTTTATCTTGTCTACCCAAAATTTTGTTGCAAAACTCTCTGGTCCAGGTTCTCCACTCTCCTGTGACACATTTACACCAGGAAATATTTTTGATCATTATTTTAATTTCATACAACTTAAGTTTCTTAAAACCATATGAATTTCTTGAGTGTAAGATTTTAAGTTCAGTCCCTCCAGCAATAATTCTCTATCCTTTTTTACCAATAAATTATAAAAAAAAAAAACAAAAAAACAAACAAAAAAAAAAACAACAAAAAAAAAAAAACAGACAAACAAAATGCCAAATGTGAATGGGACAGTAGAGAGAAAAAGAGAAAAGAAGAAACCTCTCTAGATTAGGACAAGACTGGCAATAGATGCCCATGAAACATGTTGTTCTTCCTCTAAAGCCTTTGGGGGTGTCAGATTATACATCTAGGAGAAATGGGAGCACACCATCCATACAAAATTGAATTTCCTGGTGAACACTGTTCTTTCTCAAGTTGGTGAAGCCAAAAGACCAGTAGCAAAAGTTCAACAGTGAAAGAAAGAAAAGTAGAATAGAAGATATTCTAGCAGTTATGAGAACTTGAAAGTAAAAGGTATAACTGAAGATGGAACAAAACAAAAGGGGAACAACAGCTCAGTATGGAAAGAAAACAGAGAAGCAGACGGTCAGAAGGCAGCTGGGAAGGTCTGGGACATAGGTGCATTGCCTGGCAGTGGTACTGGTTACTTAATGCACCAGTGACTGGTTAAACTGTATTCACTGCTTCTGCCACTTTTATTTTAAAATTAACTGTTTGAAATGCTGCTAGGTCAGGCCCCAGGAAACTGTCAGAACAAAGTCTGTAGTAGTAGTCTTTACTACTTGAAAAGAGCCTGCTACAAATAAGAAAACAAGTAAAGCTGTTTGGCCATATACAGAGGTAAGGAAGTGTTAGCACTTTGTTTCAATGTGTCACTCAGGTTAAGGTTCATAGAACCACGTAGGAAGAACCTGATATGGCCGCTATCTTATAACTAAGAGAAAACAATGCATTTACAAACAGAAATGAATCATTATACAAACAAACGTTTAAAGTTTGGCTCAGAAAAAAAAGATCAAAAAGGCAGCAGTGTTAAAAAAAATCCTGTTATAGATTTAAATAACCTCACTTGAACAGTGGGCCTTTTAAGAGTAATCACCTGGCAAATCAGAAAACTTTCCAAACATCACATGCAGTTGGAAATTTAAAATGTAGTCAGATTTAAAGCATTTATACCTCCCCCCATTGCCTTTATTCTTGGTATTTACCCTCATGGGTCCATACTTTGGTTGTTTGATTTTTTTTTTTTTTTTCTTTAACGAATCACTACAGTCTATAATTCCTGCACTGGAAATAATTATTCACTCAACTGCGATACAAATGATTTGAGCCAGTGCTCAAGAGCCGTGTTACACGGCAGGCTGGCAACAGGTTAAGAGACACTAGAAATACTTTGGTCAAAATGCCCATTGGTTTTCCGTGTAAAAGTTAAATGCAGTTATGCTTATATCCTTTCCTGTATGATAACGCTCACCTGAAAATAGCAAAAGAACTTTTATTTCCACACTCCCCCCCCAAAAAACAAAACAAAACAAAAACGGAAAATATCCATGTTCGCAAAAGTTTGCGAAAACAAGGCGCAGGGGCAGCGGCCGCCGCGCAGACCCGGCCCTACCTCGGCGGGCTGGATGCAGAAAGCCTCGGCGATCTTCGCGTAGAGCTCGCGGGCGCTGCCGAAGCCCTCCACGCGGCCCGTGGGGCTGCCGTGCGCCAGCTGCGTGTGGAACTGCAGCCGCGACACAGTCGGGGCCGGGGCCGGGGCCGGGGCCGCCGCCGCCGCCTCCGCCGCGGGGGCCGGGGCCGGGGCCGCCGCCTCGCTCTCCACCAGCTTGACGGTCTCCTTGGACTTGTCCTTCTTCTTGCTCCTCAGCCCCAGCGGCATCTTCCGCGCCTGTGACGGGCTCCCGCCGCCCGCCCGCCCGCCCGCGCCGGACTCTGCCCCCGGCGCCGCCCCGGCCCCGCACGGCCCCTCACGGCCATGCCGCCGCCAGGTGCGGCTGGGCCGGGCCCGCCCCGCCCCGCTCCCCGCGCAGCTCCCCGCGCTTCGCCCCGCTCCCCGGCGGCTCGGGGGGCAACGGGCCACGGCCCGGCCCTGCCCACGCCCCCACACCACCAGCCCCGGTCGAAGCGGGGTCGCACACCGAGGACCCCCACAGCCCACCCTGGAAGCCACAAGCGGCCGTAACTAAAGCAGAGGAACAGGGACTTGGGTCAGCAAGTTATTCATACAAATAAATAATCTTTCCCATCCCTGATGGTGAATGGGACAGCACCAAGAATGCCGAGTTTGCCAAAGCCTGTTACGGCCTATTTTCTGACCCCTTCAAGGACATCTCTTCCACTTTTTTCTACTTGGGCATTATATAAAGTGTACACTGTGAAGTGTACTTACATACCATTAAAGTGGAAAAGTGTAAAAAGTTTACCATCTTTCCACTCACTAGTTCAGGAATTTCTACCAATAAGGAAATATTAAATATTGATCAGAATAGGTTTATATCCTCCAAGGATTAGTAAAGCAACAGCCATATAAAGCAAAGTTTAAGAGGCTTCCTATTGAACTGGACAACAGCTTTGTAATACTGAGATTTAATATATATTTGAAAAATGTATTTTCTAACATTTTGAAGATTTAAAATATTTCCTTCTCCACCATGGAATAGAGAAATGTATTTTATGGAATGAGTTGGTTGTTCACAAGTTACAGAAGACATCTGTGCTCCAATCTAAGTACACTCACCTCAGTGGAATTGCTCTATTTTCACTGGTGTACTGAATCCACTCAAGATGTGAAGAGTGAAAATCCCATGCAGCAACATCCAGCACTTCTAAATGAATTGGCTATAAAGCTGCAGAGAGAAGGAGCATTGACTTACCGCATCTTCTAACTCACAGAATAAAAAAGATAAACCACTTCTTAGAAGAAGAAAAAAAAAAAAAAAAAAGTGTTCTGGCACACGGAGTCAGACCAGGTAGGCACAGAGAAGTGAATTATTAGGAGGCAGCCCACAGTCAAAAGTTCTTAGCATAGCTAGTCAGAGAGTACTTGGAACACCTCATAAAATACATACAACTTTCAAGCTGCTCATATTGTGAGGAAAAAAAAAATGGTTTGAAGCCAGTTGGATCTCAGTCTTTGCAGATAGCATGGGGTAGATTTAACTGAAAACTCAAAAATGCTTAACTTTGATCCGATTCTAAGACTACTGAATTCAAAATTATTAATTTTCTAGTAATTTCCACCAATAAAAAAAAAAACCACCACAGAATAAACTGACTTTCACAATTTAATAGTTGACTTCATAGTCCAGTTTGAAACCAGAAAACTTAAACTGAAGATTTCTCTGACCTGTGTGTAACTTTCCCCATTATTGGAATGCAATTCAGACAGCACGCTGCCTTAGGTTGGATGAGATTGCAGTGAGATTAAATGGAATAGATTAAATAACAGTATCAAACTGTTCATGTTCATTCTAATATTTAGGGGATTTTGCTGTTTTGCAATTTTAAATGGGCAATTTCTTTTGAAACAATGTCTTTTTTCATTTACTAAAATGTAGTACAGTGGAACTGGTGACATTGACAAGTATTTGTCTTGTCTCTACTGAACCTGATGTCTACCAACTCATTCCTTCTCTTCTGAAAAGATAGCTGAACCAATGTCAAAAAACAGTAAGTACTGTTTACAATCATTACTGATGTTAACAATTTAGTTAATGTAAATGAAAAGAGTCACATTTCCGTATAATGACATACATGGGTTGATTTGTTTTATTTTAAAAACTCGGACATTGACATAGTCCTAATTTAGATATCGGTTGCAAAACTTTCTTCAATGAAAGTGTTAATGCTTCCATGTTTCATATGGAAAAGGATGGAAAAAGACAGCTGAAGTTGTACAAGAACTATGCTGATCCTCCTTACAGCTTGGAGCAACAGCCTCAGCTTTTAATTGTGGAAAGAAAAAGTGAAGAGACCAACAGATCTGACAATGAACTGAAGATCACATTGTACTGTTCAATACAAACAGTATGGAGCATGTATATGCTATCGTTATTTACATGATGTAACAGATGAAAATAAACCTTTTTGTTGTTTAAATCAGAGGAACATTCCACATATGCTAAATTATTCTTAAAAAAACAAACCTAGAAAAGCATCTATGTGAAGCTGTCATAGCTTTGGCAAGAAATGGTAAAGAAGTGTTCAGCACTCAGTTTCACCCGTTCACTACTGCTACATATACTTATTTTTTGCTAAACTGTGAATGCTGTTTATTAATATTGCTCTGAAAACAGATTAGCAGTTTCAACCATTCAGATTTAACCAGCATTACATAGTGTTGACCAAGCAATCTGTAGAGCTAGAAAGTAGTCAGATTGCTGAGAACCTCAAAGAAAGAAACCTGTAATGGATACAAGCCGTTTTCGCCAACTACAATCAGTCCTGCTCTCAGGCTCCCTTGAACATGTACCCTCTAGGGAAGTTATCTGTCACCATTAACTAAAACAAATTAAAACTAGATCATGAATCCAAAGAAGCCTCCAGCAATTCAGGATAGCTAGAATCCAAAAATTACTTAAACTTCACTTTTTATAAGTGACATCAGAGTTAACAATTTAAAAAATGTTAATAATCAATTATTAGCCTTGGTTTTAGAAGGAAAAATTCACCATGTACTAGAAAAAAATGGAAAAATGGATTTCAGTCCTTTTATCCTATGATTATATTAGACATTGCACTTACCACATGCTTTACTTTCTCAGACAAAGTACACAGTTCAGAATTATGGCATGCAACAGCCATAAAGTTTGTGGGGAAAGTATGTGCAATCAGAGTCATGTTACTGCATATGAAATGCCGCAGTGCTATACTGCAGACTATAACTGTCACATATATATATACATATATATATATTTTACGTGTATTGAACCTGTGAAGATCTTACCTGAAGCATATTACATCTTTCTGGTCATTCATGTTCCAAATGAAGCAATCGCTTCAAAGAATTACTGGTATGACCAGAGAACAAAGAGCTTTTTTAAGAACTTTCAAGACCTTATCTGGTTTAGTCTAATGAAAATAAGACTGACAAGAGACATAGCTGGTGTTTATATCTATGATAGCATTAAATTGATATAAACTAACAAAAGAATGTTGATGAAAATAAAACTGAAACTTCCTACTCATAAATATTAAAAACCATTTTTTAAACCAGAGGATACTGCAAATTAAGGCCTTTCAATAAGATTGTATTTCCTCCTCCATTTTAAGACCAAAGTTCAAATAGGACTGCCTGTGACAGGAAGGGCCCAAACTCCATTACCAAAACTTACTGATCTTCTGAGAGTTTGTCCATGCTACATTAAGTATTCTTATTTTGGCTTTGACACATGAAAAACATCAACTAGTATAACCACCCTCTGAAAGTCCATGCAGCAACAATAAACTCACTTTGCACACTGAATTCAGTTTTGCAATCCTGACTCAACAGGGAGCAGAGGGGGATCCCAGGGAATTTTATCCTGCTTCCTATTACTTTTAAAATCAGTTTGTTGGTATATGAGGAAAATAAAAATACATAGTTTTCCTGGATCGCTCTCAGAAGTTGTTTGAGGTCATTATTACACTTGGCCACAGCTTTTCTGGCAAGGGTTGCTTCTCACTGAACCCAGCTTATCAACCTTTCTTTGGATATAAATATAAAGCAGTTGAGACACTTCTTCGGAGCATGCCATAAAGTACTTATTCAGGGAAACGCTATGTTGTATTTCAAGAGCTGGTTGGGTAGGGATTTTGTTTTTTTTAATTATGTAGGGCAGCAGGAGTGTGGAGATGATAATTTGTCCTTGATAAAGCAATCAGGCATGACTAACGAGATTGTTATTGTATAGCTCCTCCCTTGGGTAAGCCAGTAATTCCAGGAGAACAAAACAAGCACAGGCCAGTTACACCTTCTAGACCCAGAGGGAGCAACAGTAGATTTCTACTTTCACTCTTTAAATAATAGAAAAATTAATTGGAGGAGCCAGAAGGAAAAAATCATGCCATCCAACAGTCTACTGGTGAGCAATCTGACAGATGAAGAGCCAAGATTCTGTACTTTGTGCGGAGATTAGTACTGCCATTTGCCCAGTTTGCATGCCAAACAGTAAGTGAACACATGAATACCCTGGTTCTACAGGATTTGTTCATTAAGCAATATAGTGAAAACTATTACATGTCAGCTGTAAAGGAGGACTAGCATTTAGTGACTGGAAAACTGGCTCAATTATATTTACAGTAGCATGTCCATGTCCTGTATTTTTTAGACCTAGCATATGAATTAAAGTGCACAGAGTTTTACCCTGAATCATAGCAAGTTTCACTGGTGGGGTAAAACCTATTCTACCCCCAAAGTATGTTACCAGTGAGTCAGACTAGCACGTAAGATCTGCATGCTAGAAAGGAATGGAATGCATTTAGTTTGTCAGTTGTCTAGTGACCTTCAGATCTGCCTAGGAGCTTCATCAACTATCTAAACTAATAAAGGGAGCTAAGTGTCAGCATGAGAGCTGTCACAACCACTGTGACCTGGAGCTCTGGAAGTGGATCCCCATGGGACTGATACTCCTGAAGTCAGGGAAAGTGACTCCAGATCTGGCAGGGACTGACCAGATCTTCACAAACATACTTCTGTTCTTCTCCACAATCATTTGAATGTAGTGTCTTTCCCTTCCATTCTGCATTCCGCTTTTTCTGCCATCTGAAGTACAGAAACCATTTAGTCACACACACCATTCTCTCAAACCCCTATCTACGAAGTACTTGCTATGGGATAATCCTGTCAGCTGGACAAACAGGTCATTATCAAGTATGCAAGTGGCTAAAGCAGCAAAATAACAGTCTGTCACGAAGGGATGAGACACGTGATTAACAAGCCCTTACAAAGACTACAGACTTTACTCCTTCAGCTCAGTAGCACCCCAGATTCCTAGAATCACATTTTAAGACTGCATCATCACATTAGTGAGACCAAGTCATTGAGCTGCAAAAGCATCTTAAGGGCGTAAAGATTTGGTGTTTTTGAGGACTAAAATATTTTGAAAGACTCAAGGGTTATAGGCTAAGAATAAAAAAAGTTGTAGATATGTCTAGGATCATACAGCCTTAACTAAAGGCCAAAGAAAATAAGGTTTGGAAATCACTATTGTCTTTCTCGCTCAATAAAACCTAAATACCAGTCAGGTGCAGCCAGTATGTGTCAAAAAAAACCCCCACAAAGCACGACTCATTAATAGAGGAAGTTTAGTTTATGCAAGCATAGGGCTAGTGGTACTTACCAAAAAGTAGAACTGATTCTTGGAGAAATTCAACTCCCTTTCCAGGCTGCCAACTTATTTTGGAACAGGCTGCCCCCCCCCCCCCCCCCCCAAAAAAAAAAAAATCCACAACTAATAGCAGATTACCCAAGACAATGGTCTCCTCCAGTCTCTAAGCAAAACTATGCAAGGTCAAGAACTCTATGGCACACTGATACCTGTGCACAGCTCAACCAGGTCTTTAAAACCAAGCCAGCTACGGACCTCTTCTTCACCCATGCTTTGGCTCTTTAGCATTAAAGGTACAACTGGTATGAGCTGGAATGAGCTTCATTCATTTACAGCACTATGCATTGATCCGATGGATGCCTCCTCACTGTGCTTGGATTTTTGAGAATCAGACATGGATACTGTTTTGAGCATTTACTAAAAATTCTAGAACTATCACATCTGAGAATTAGAACACCGATAATCTCATTTGACTGATCATCATGGTACATATTGCTCATCTTCAGCACTGTGTGTGAAGTTTGGACTGAAGGTCACAATGAAAATAGGAGTGAAGTCTAGAAGAGGACATAGGAATGAAGACAAAGCTTCCAGCCTATAAAAAGCAAATGGAAGTGAGTACACACAAAGTTGCAAGATGAAGGTGGTAAGAACAACAGTGGAGACCCAACCTCAGTTAGAGAGTCTGTTATTTCAGTAACAAAGTAAACAGGTCAGGACTCAAAACCAACCCAAAACCACAACATCTGTTCAACACACCACAAATGGGCTTCAACAAGTTTTCAGCATAGATAATAGAAAAAAAAGCTCAGTGGGAGAGTGGAATACTAATATCTTCATGACATCAGAAAGCCTGCTCTGGAGCAATCACAGAGTACCATTGTATGGCAGAAAGGGGAAACGGTTGTGATGTAGCTTGCCCTACTCTTCCAACAGCTTGAGGTTATCAGAAAGCTTGATGTTGGGAAGATTAAAAAAAGGTTCTTCAGAAGTAGATGTTTTCACAGACTTGTTGAATGAACTCCTCCAAAGTAACCAAATTACTTTTGCTTTCTATGTATGGCATTTAAGAAATCTTCAAGAGATCAAAATATCCTCCTCATCCCAACCTGGACTCATGAATGTCCATTTTATTTACATGTATTTCAGTAGTTATAGATATAGTAGGTGACGGAGTATTTGCTTCCTTCTCTCAAGCAGCCTTTATTAAATAAAGTGTTTTTTAAAACATAGCTTTTAAGCACATTTTTTAATTAGAAAAATATTATTTTTTGTGACCCCTGGATTAGATAGATATTGATGCTCCCTCTCATACTCTGAAGTAATTCCATGTGTTTTTTTCTGAAACATATACTTTGTTGCCTCTCCATAAGAAAAGAAATACAAGCATTTCATACCAGTCCTCTAGTTCTGTATTTTGAGCATGAAAACAGTTTGAAAAGTTTAGTTTGCTATACATATATATATACACCTCTAAATACACAAGATACTGCAATTCCTCTATTTAACACTAATCCTCTTACCTGAAGATGGTTACAAAAAATAGTCCTAGTTGCTGTAACTTTTTTTTTAACAAGTTGGACTATGGTTACAAGATCCTGGATTACAAAATACTCAATTCCATTAGCTTTTAAACTGACAAACAGGTATTTTATGATGATATGCTTTTAAAGTTCTGTAGCTTATAGCATCTGCCATCATAACAAAGAGAAAGTCAAAACCCAACTTTACACTTTTTACTTAAAAACCACGTAAGAAGTGCAATATGGAACATACTGAAATGGAAGTTTTTTGAACAAACAATAATATATAGTGTTAACGATATGCATAAGCACTAAGCAGCAAATTTTCTCCCTTTGTGATACTGCTCCAGCAATTGTTAAGTTCTTTGTAGAATAAGGACTACAACTAACTGACACTGTTAAGAAGAGATCTGCAGTTGAAAACCTGACTCTAACAGTATCTCCTAGAAATTCTATTCCTTTGAGTAATAGAAATGGGATTCTTCTTGTGCTCATTAAAAAGTGATTGTAAATTAAATCCCAACCTCCATATGATTTACTTACCTGCAGAAAATCACATATATAAAGATAACACTGCTATTTCTTAAGTTACCTAGCAGAGAAGGTAACTAAATTTCCAAAAGCCTTACAGCAAATCTTACGTATTTTCTTATGAAGAAAAAAAAAAAAAACAAACCACAAAATAAAACCCAAACCAAAAAAAACCCCTTTCAAAGTGTTGTTAAAGCACTGTAATATGGTTTTAAACTCAAGTAACAGATCACGCCCACAAGGCATTTCTTTCACCAAAATCATGCCACAATCAAGGGAACCAGCCCTATTACTATATTATAAAACTAGACTATTACAGAGGGCTCTCCATTTCCCTATGTGCCTTTTAACTCCAGACAAGTAATTTGTATTCGAAATTCAAAAAGGACTCAATACAAGCATATGAAAGTTTATGGGCAACCCTATCCCACTTTGTGTCTTAAGCAAACTTCCCTTTAGCTAGAACCTGGGCTTTTCCTTCTTCATGGGAGTAAAGTTCAGCCTTTGACAATAATTGAGATCAGCATGATCTTTAAATATCTGTGCTAGCCAAATGCTTTTAGTGTTCTTCGTGCATCTTTCCACTCGAGCATAGACCTACTCCCTAGGGATTCAAGCTGTCACATCAGTACCACCCATATTTGGGCTAAGCCTCATTTGCAGAACATGGCCCATACCACTGTCTCGTGAAAAGTGCAAGTCCAGGTTCACAGAATCATTTAGGTTGGAAAGAACCTCTTGGAATCATGTAGTCCAAGATCTCTGCTCAAGCCAGGTCAGCTAGAGCAGGCTGCCTGCGACCACGTCCAGTCAGGCTTTGAGTATCTCCAGGGATAGTGACTCTTCAACCTCTCTGAGCAAACAGTTCCAGTGTTTGACCACCCTCACAGTAAAAAAGTGTTTTCTTGTATTCAGACGGAATGTCCAGTCTTTTAACTTGTGTCCACTGTCTCTTAGTCCTGTCACTGAGAGCTACTGAGAAAAGCCTGACTCTCCCATCTTCACTCCCTCCCATCAGGTATTTATATGCAGTGATAAGATCCTCCCAAGCCTTTTCTTGCCCAGGCTGAAGAGCTCCAGCTCTCTCAGCCTCTCATGCATGGCCCTGTGCTAGACCCGCTCCAGTAAGCTTGTCTTTTTCCTGTACTGGGGAGCCTAGAACTGGAAATTACTCCAGATGCATCCTCATCAGTGCTGAGAGTAGGTAAGAAGGATCATCCCCTGCTCAACCTTCTAGCAAAGCTTTGGCCTTTGTTGCCACAAGGGTGCATTGCTGGCTCACCATCAGTTTGTTGTCCACCAGGACATCAAGGTCTTTCTCAGCAAAGCTGCTTTCCAGCCAGTCAGCTCCCAGGGTGTACTAGTGCCTTGGGTTATTCCTCAGGGAGCAAGACTTCGCTGTCAACACTTTGTTGAACTTTGTGAGAATCCTCTGTCCAGCTCTCTAGCCCACTGAGGTCCCTTTGAAAGGCAGGACATCATCTAATGTTACACCAGCCACTCTTTCTAGTTCTATACAATTTGCAAACTTGCGGAGGATGAACTCCATCCCATAAACCAGGTCATTAATAAAGATGTTGAATACTGGCCCCAGTATTGAGCCATATACTATACCACTACTCACTTGCCTCCAACTGGACTTTGTGCCACTGATTATACCCTCCTGTGCCCACTCATTTGGCCAGTTTTTAATCTACCTCACTTTCCGCTTATCTAACCTGTACTTTATTAGTCTGTTAACTAAAGACAAAGTAAACAATGTGGACTGTTCTCTTGTCATCCAGAAAGCTAGTCACCCCACTGTAGAAGGCAATGAGGTTGGTCAAGCACGTTTTTCCCTTTATAAATATATGTTGACTCCTCCTGATCACCTTGTCCTTCATGTGTTTGGAAATGCTTTCCAGGAGGATTTTCTCCATCACTTTCCCAAGGACTGAGGTGAAGTCGACTGGTCTGTAGCTCCCCAAATCTTCCTTCTTGTTTTTGTTGAAGGTGGGAGTGATATTTGCTCTTTTCCAGTTTACTGGTACATCTCCCAGTCTCCATGACCATTCTAGGTAATTAAGGGTGGTCTTGCAATGGTACTAGCCAGCTCTCTCAACACTTCTGGGTGCAACTTGTCAGGCTCTCAGACTTCCAGTTTAAGTGCACCCTAATCCTCCAGCACCGAGGTTCCAGATCTCCCCTCTGGTCTCAGGGGCATGGAACTCCCAAAGGCCTGTTTTACTGATAGACTGATGCAAAGAAGGCAGTAACTATCTCAGCCTTCTGCATGTCATTTGTCACCAGCTTCCCTGTCCCATTTGACAGCAGGCCCACCATTTGCTGTTTATGTAATTGTGGAATCCCTTCTTGCTGTTCTGCCTGAAGGCAGAGAAACTATCCCATAGCAAACAGCTATTCTTGCTCCACAAGCCACGTGCCCTTTGCTAGACTCACAATGCAGTCCTCACATTCTGGGGCAATAAAGAAAATGCTTTAATTGCACTGGGGGGCAGTTCAGGAGTCCAAGCTGATTTTCCCAGTCTATGCTTTGTGCAGTGGAAGGCAACATACCAAAATGATAACTTCCATTATTTGCTATTTAAAATATTTATACATTTGTGTATTTCTACTACTATCTCCAATTTCTCTATAAATGGATAATGTTATAGATAGGGTAGGGATAAAAAATAAAGTACTTGGAGGCTCAAGTACTGTATCAGAAATATGCGGTGACTGATCAGTAAAAACTGACTATGTTTTATATTAGGCAAAATAATGAATAAACTTTTGATTAGGAAGATGTAAAATGAGTGGTTTTCCCTGTAAATTTTACTGCAGAAGCCACCTGTATGACTTGTACTTAACCCTTTTCTTCTCATGCAGCATTACAGTATTTCCCCCCCACCCATCCCACAAAACAAAACAAACAAACAAAAAAAACCAAATATTCCACTAGTTGTTACAGATTGCACTTTTAAAGCACAGACTTGCCAGTCTTCTGCATTTCCAGTGTCCTATTTAAACAGTTGACATACACAGTCTTCATTTTATGAAACTGGAAGATTTCGCCTAAGTACTTCTTTTGATGCTGGAGAAATGTTATCTGGGAAAATTACTTCAAACTCTATAATTAAGTCTCCACGTTGGTCAGGATTTTTGGGAAACGGTAAACCATATCCTATAATTCTTCTTCTCATCCCAGGCTTTACAACTTCATTTACTGTCATGGGTATGGTTCTTCCTTCTATCGTTGGCACATTGATAGAGCTGCCACACAAAGCCTGAAGAAAGATTGTATCATGAGAAAAAGAAATTGGTCAGAACTTTACTTGTACCTATAACTTAATTTGGATTATTTAGAAAAGACTGGCATTCTAAACAGTATTTCCACTGTATTCTACTAAGATGTCAAAATTCAAATACAATGTTCCTCTCTTAAAAAGGGAAGGCTTCAATTTGTCATTGAATATCACAGAATTTATCAATCTTATGCTATGGCCACTGGAGGATAATTGAGCTTATATATCCTTCAAAGACTTCACCAAATAATAAGCTGGTTGAGCACCAAGAGAACTCTTCACTCATACCTCTAGAGGTATGCAGCTTCTCAGTTTACACTGGAAATTTAGAGTCCTGTTCCATTTCTTGTTTGTTTACATTGCACAAGGGTTTACTCTAATATACTATCAACCTATACTATATCAAATTGCAGAACAACATTTAAGTGTCTATAAGCAGAGGTGTATCAAATTTCACAGCCATCTTAGGTTAGTATTTGCGATGCTCTAAGAAAAGAAAACAACTGTTTTGGTGCACCAAAATTAAAAAAATCACAGACCTTCTGCTTTATCCAAACATTTGTTCTCATTACTAGGATCTCTGATTATACCATTTTGATTCCTCCAGCTTCACCTGATTCAGCACATTTAGTCTATACTGATAAAGCCCAATTTACATAACAATTCAATGAGTCTAAATTGGCTTTTATCTATGAAGCAACTATATTACCCACATCAATATTAAATATAATCTTTTCTCCCTCCCTCATCCTATTTTAGGCACTTCACTTCAAATGTATTTTTAGTTAAGATTCCTTTAAGAAGGGAGCTCATAAATGTACACGAAGAGCTTATAGTGCAAGCAAGAATTTATTTCTCCACCTAATACCAATTAAGAAGAAGAACCACATCACACACATTCAGCTACACTATCTATTAAATGATAACCATGTCAAGGCTTCAGACCCTTAAGAACTCTGCTCAGTTGTCTTTCTGATTTTTCCTTTTGAAAGCCAATGCGTTTTGACTTGGAACAGAATTTTAAAAAACTATACCATTTTTGTAGTTATATATAGCTCCTGTAACACCTGTTCACAATAATTTATCCTCATGAAATCAATCTCTATGTACTTTGAAATCACACTGAAATAACTTACGACATAAAAAGGCAGACTTTGAATTTGTTGGCAGTGAAAATATTTAAGATATTTCTACTTTGTCCTATAGAAGCAGTAATCATATCAAGCAGTAAGGAGCATTCTATGTTGGATGTATTTGTTAACTGTATTTGTGTTTGTTACTTCAGCCTAATATATATTTAGCTTGAAAGGTAAAGTGAAGATTTAAAGACTCATTCTCTTCCACCACTACAGCAAACAGCTTGAAATAATACTCTATTTTTATCAAAACAGCCATTGCACTATAAATAACTGTGCTCTGCAGCCATATATTAAATTTGCAAGAGTGAAACTCTTCAAAAAAAAAAACCCCAACAACCAAACAAAACTTTACTGCTGCCCTACAGCTTATTCAGCATAGTCATTGTATCATACTGTAACAGAATTAAACATTTAGAGTTCTACCAAAAGAGAAACTTACCTCCCTTAAGCTGATCTTAACAGGATAGATAATATTTGATCCATCCCTCTTGAAGTGAGAGTGAGGTTTATCTTTGATGATAAAAACAATATCAGCTGGAATGGTGTTGGGTGTTTCATCGCCTTCTTTTGGAAAAGTGATTTTGGTGCCTTCTTTCCATCCTCTTTTTATCTCAATCGTAAGAATTTTGTCCTCTGTTCGGACACTTCTACCATCTGGGTTAAGCCTTTTACGTGAAATCCTCATCCTTTTCGTGCAGCCATGATAGATCTCTTCCAATGACACTTTAAGTTCATGGATTACAGGGGGATCTTGTTTACGACGTAACTGGCTACCAACTGTATTCCTTTCCCTTGGAAAACCATTCATACTAAAACTAGTGAAGGATCCAAAAGGATCACCATCCACCTCCATGTCTTCAGTGTCTCTGCCACCAGGCATCCTCCTTCCAAAGAAAATCTCAAAAGGATTTGTGCCACCAAAGAAAGCTGCAAATGTAGCATGTGGGTCACCATGGAAGGAGTACCGGAAGGTACCACCCTGTCCATCAGGTCCTCCAGCTCCTCCTTTCAGACCTACATAAGACAAATAAGCAAAGTTAAAAATAAATCGAATATTAACATAAGCTTTCCTACTGTAGAGTACAATGATATCGGAACTGATGAGTCAAAAATGCCTTTGCACTAGAGTGAAAGGTCTCCTTTTCAATGAGGACTCATCATCAGCAATGAAGTTGCTGAAGTTCTAGAATGATTTCTACTTCAGAAGAACAAGTATTTTGACACTGCCAATTTAATTTCATATGATTGAAGCCAGTTATTCCAAGAACTAGCATCTTAAAACAGAAGACAGGTCTGTTTGATTTTTTTTTTTTTTTTTATTCTGGGAGTTGCATTCCTCTTCAAGATCACTTCTAAGAAAATTATGCAGTATCATATGCAACATTTTCTATAGTCTCCATAGCTCAGCTTTAACTCAGTGCTAATTAGTTTTACCTCTATTTTCCTACAATTCAGTCTGAGTAAAATGTAACATGCCAATAGTCAAGCAGCCATATGCTTCCTTAATGTTCAATTTAGAATCCCAAACTTATTACAGCTTGTGTTTCTGTGATATAAAGTAGGTGAGAAACCTGGGAACTCTTTTCAATGCAGCCATAAAATATAGCTTGGAAGTTCTTAAGTCCCATTTGGGTACAGAAAATCTTGTATATACTGTCACCATCTCCGTGCAAAAAATCAGAATGTTCTCAAATAGTTTTGTTCTTTCTCTTCTATCTTCCACATGAAGAGATCTATCTACCTCTCATTTCTTCCTGATGAGATTTCCCTTACAATTCTCACTGGACAGTGCTTTGCATTTCCTGCTCTTATTCCAAACCCAGCTAAAATCAGTTTTCTTAAATGCCTCTCTCCCAACAGGTGATCTCTAGGTATCTCCTCGTAATACTGCTCTCCTACACTGACAATTTCAGGATACCTTCTCAAACCTCTAAGATGAAAGACTGAAAGTTTTCAAAGTTTTCAAGAGAATTCTGTTTCTAAACTTGTACTATTTGGTTTGTTTTTTGTTTTTTTTTAAATCTTACAGCAGCTCAGCATGTATTACACCTTCTATGCATAAGCTTAATACTGCTTATCAACAGTAACCAAGGCAGACATTAGAATGGGAATGCTTTCCCAATCTCAATACCAGACCACATTAAAAGTTCTTCACAACATGCAGTACATCCTTCTGTCACAGTACTGTTAATGTCAAACAAGCAGATCACTAGATTCAATCTGCAATAGTGGAAGGACACCTCCTGGAATAGCTAGCCAAAAGTTACTGAAGGTACATCAAGTTTCTGGCTGTAAAAACACTGAGGTTTCCTCCTTCCTCCCACCCCAGCCCCTGCCTTTTCTGCACAACTACTAGTTACACTCTCAGATGTAAGTGTAGACTTGAGAGAGCAACTGAGGCATCAAGAAGTATTTACAGGTTCACCATTCTAAAAGTTCATATGTTGGTTTAATATTACGCCCCAAATAAATAAAAATCTACGTTTTGAACCTCTCTCTTGAAGTGTGCAATACTAGGACACCAAAGGCTGCACTGCTTTACATGCTTTACTTCAAGCTTTTCGGTAGAAGTGACTAAAATGGTATTTTGGGAAAGTAGTTGGGATGAGCTGTTGCACAGGAATCTAAAATGCAAATGAATCCACAGAGTAAATAGGTTTATAATGATATTCATAAAGGAGGCAGAGGATGAGAAGGAAGAAGTGCAAGAAGGCAAAAGTCCTAAGAGGCAACAAAGGCCTGTGGTATCTACATGAACACTTTTTTCCTAGCATGTTTCAGTAACAGCACTAAAGCTTTGAACATTTTGGAACAAATGACAAAAAACCCCTGTGACCTCTGTAGAAGCTGAAGGTCTTCTACATGAATTTATGGATGTTAAAAATTGCATTATGTCCTATGGATGACAGAGGACCAAATTTTATTATGCATTTATAGGAACCCGCAATTTTCCCCAAAGTACTGCTATTTACGTGTCCTCCTTTATATTAGCAAAAAACATGGCCCTGAGTGAATGGACCTACTTATCACAACAGAAGTAATTATTTCATGTGGAATTTCTGATACCATACATTTAAGGGGAGGGATGTTAGTGACTTCCTCTGTTGCTCAATCATAAGACTAAAAGTCATGTTAGTCAAAAAAAAAAAAAAGTCATCCTCTCCAGATAACCATTTTAGGATAAATATGACATTTCTGAGGCCTCATTCTCTTGGCATGTTATCACTGTTTACAATTAAAGCTAAAAAATTGTTCTGGTATTTCATGACATCAGCCAAATTCTTTCCTCTCCAGGCAAGAAGCCAAGGACAACTATGGACTGGACACCTGGGCTTCTGCTCAGAAGGACTGCCCTGCCTAGACCAAGCAGACTGCCCTTTAGCAAAAATTCAAAAAAAGAATACAAGTCTTTTCAGCTGCACCTCAAGAAGTGCTACGGCAAGCAAAGACAGAAAGCCATTTATGGGTCATACAAACTTTTTAAATTCAGTAACTTTTTGCCTGTCGAGTATTTGAGATTTTTAAAAAACATAAAAACTCATTAAAATAAGAAATTAAAACTTGACCAGCATTAAAACTCTGCACTACATTTTACATTTAAAAAGCTGATGAGTCAAACTTCCAAGCAGTACAAATACACTGCCTAAAAATCAACATGTTGTTGTTTGTCATGTTGTTTTCATGCATCATCTATGTTTATTTTGCTTCATTCAACATTAAAAAAGTGACCAATCAGAGTATGACAGAGACATACATACCTTCCTCCCCAAACTGATCATAAATATCTCTCTTTTTGGGATCACTCAGGACTTCGTAAGCTTCTGCAACCTCTTTGAATTTTTCTTCTGCGTGGGGAGATTTGTTCTTATCTGGATGCCATTTAAGCGCTTGCTTTCTGTAAGCCTTTTTGATATCCTCTTCGGAAGCCCCTTTTTCAATTCCCAGGATAGAATAATAATCTTTCCCCATCCTGAGTGTTGGAGGAATTCAGATTTTCCTTGCTATAAAGCAAGCAGCGTCCAGTGTCTTAGCAACGTACAGATGCTAGAGAAGGAAAAATAAAAATCAAATTTGGAATTGAAACAAACAGAACTGTAACAAATCAGCAAACTCTCCGATACACTAAAGAAACACTAGACAGCTTCTCCGTATTTCATTCCTCCCCCCATTGCTCATTTATAAATAATTATACACACTGGACAGGACACAGCCCTCTTTAGAGTCCTCCCATCTACAGTACGTGTCTCCGCTCTTTCTAGAACGACAAATAATACAGGACGTCACTTCCCCGACTGCCCCAGCTGAACAGCCTGCACAGCTTTCACTCTCTCACACACACGCATGCGCAGCACATACACACAGAAAATGCTGAACTTCTGTTTCCTCCCTTCCCAGGCAACTAGAAAGTTTAAAGGTTTAATAGTGTGATACAGTGCCTTTCACCACCAGGGCTGAACCCAGTCAGCTCTCAGGACATAAGTGCCCCGACAGAAATGCAGTAGCCCATGTAAAGTAATTACAGAATTTTACTTCACAGTTTCTATAGAGACAGCTGTACATGTAATTGTTTTCTAAGTATGTCAACATGAATTTGTAATCTTTCCAGCAAAGACTACAGTATTTTACTCCCAATTTAACTACAAAGCTTCAGAAAACACAACTTCATTTCTTTAAAAATAAAATTAACCCACGCACAACCACAATTGACTGCAGCCATGTACTACTAAGCAGTAAGAAATCCAGTCTGAGCAAAAAACACCACTCACTTTACCACAGATCAAGCCACTCAATTAAAGCAGACCAAAACTGTTACTCCCTGCCCAGGCCTCCTCCTACACAAAAGGCAACATCATGACTATTATACAAGTATGGCAATATATCAAGTAAATATCTTTTATGTGATAAGATGTTAATAACAGAAAACTACCTGGTTGCTACACATTTACTTTACAATATATAGTACAAATTTTACTGCTGAACTATTTCTCATGCTCTGCAAATGGAATGGTATGAAGTTTCAGCCTGCAGTATTTCTTCTGGATATTAGCTAAGAGCTATAGATCAAGAAATTATTCCTACTTGTTAGTTTGGCAATCAACTTCAAGACTGGGTAGCTTGAAAAATAACTCCTCCCTGGAACAAAGTATTAAAATCCACCAGTTTTGGTCATAGCTAGAAGCTACCCATATGAAGACATATCTAGGCTCAGTTATGAAGTTACTAGTATGAAAACAATTAGGCTCAATTGCCTTCCTTGTAATGATAAAGAAGTTTAAAAAAATTCGGCACTTAGCAATCAAGGAACCATCAAACTCAAGTGGAGAATGCTAACCTTCTGACTCAGGGAGCATTACATTTGAAGTTGTTTTCCAGAACTTGCTCTAACTTAAAAGAGGGCTGATGAGAAGAGACAGAAAATTTCTCATTAACCAAAGTACTGGAAAAAGATTTGGGACTTTTTTTCAAAAAAAAAAAAAAACCAAACCCATGGGTCATCCATCTATTTCTTACACTGTTATCTATTATTTTCCAATTTCTGCAATAGAATTGACTAGATTCCCTCAATGTATCCAGGATTTGCCCCCCCCCCCCTTTTTTTTTTTTTTTCACATTCCCCTTACAATAGGGGTAGGAAAGATGAAGGCAGAATAAAGCTGAGATTCCATCAAAATATTTGAGAAAGCAAGAGCTTTTGGAGATATGTAGTTACTGTTTCAAATGTATCAGAGGCCAAAGGGTATTGAAATAAGGATTTAGCTCTCCTTGCCACCAAATCTCTCAGGTCTTGCATGCGTTTGGGGAACATTCGGAGCCACAGGGTTACAGAACCAATTATCTTTACAGCTGAAGGATGAAGTTGTTGTTGAGCTCCACATGGAATAAAGCTAGCCTTTTACTAATCACACACTTCTTTTTATCCTTCTTTAAAACATTCTACTTACATTATTATTATTATTATTATTATTGTATCATACTAGCATGCACAGGATGAATATCTAGTGAACATGCTAATGATCATTTGAGTACATCCAATCATACCAGCACTTCTTCAGACAGTGAAATCCATCTGGTAAGTGTGACAAGTTTTCACATCTTTTGATCTTGTAGTGCTAATTAACAACTAAGCACAGATAAACAGAAAACAAAACAGTTTCTAAAAGAAAAACTATATATTTAGTTTTACTGCTACAGTCCTATCTTCCCTGTTACCGTACACACCTAGAAGTGGAAGAATTTAAAAAACTCTTCTAGACTGTGAAAAGATTCCGCTTTCAATATGTTTGAATAAGATTTTTTTGGTTGTTTAAATGCCTGAATGTGTCCCCTACAAAAATAGATAGGGTCATCACCTAGTGTGCAACAGATTAACTCATTTATGGGATTATTTTGTTCTTTACCAGTTTCTGCATTTCTAACTTGAGGTCTTCCTCCTTTGTAGTAGGACTTAGAAACATCACTGGGCATTTTGTTTGTAAGCCCATTTCCCTGAGTCATTGCATTTCACTCACTTCAGAGATTGACACCTTGGGTCCAAGTACCAGGAGACACCTGCACTGTACACACACCAGCTCACACACAGTTCTAACTGCAGCATACTGGGATGTGTCCTCTATTTGGACTTTTACCTTTTACTTAAGAGGGGTAGTTACTGTGATTTGATTTGTTTAGGGAGCATTAACAGCACATAACCTGATAGATCCTATGTAACCAAGGCTGGCCTCAGCTGTGACAAGCCAGCAGTAGTAAGTATACCCTGCAACTTATTCAAGCCTCCCAGAAACAAGCCAATAAATTACATATCTATAAAATTAGTAAGGCCATAATCTAAAACTTTGTTCTTGAATGAGCGCTAAGCAACTTCTCAGACGTACAAATCCAGTAACATACTTGGCTGTGATGCCACCTCAAAAACAAGAGATAAAAAACCCCACCTAAATTAGCTACCATTCTTCTTCATTCTACCACATCCACACTTCTGATATATCACATTATAAATAAAGAAACCATTTATACCATCAGTTCTTTGTTTGCACAGTCTTCAAATGCAACAGCTGCATTCCATTTCAGCCATACAGAGAAGAAAGCTTTTATCATCACTGTAGTATCAAAATGGTGTCTATGAAGCTTTTGCTTATAGCCAATTCTGTAAATCTATTTTGTCAAATCAGGCAGTCTCAGACCTGTCTTCCTGCTCATAAGCTACTTCAGGGTACTCTTATTATGCACTGAGAAAGTTAGCAGCCTGTATTTTGTTCAGCGCTTCCTTATGTGAGTGTTATTTGTTACAGTCCAAATTAAAAAGCAAACACATAAAATGGGAATTTCAGTTTGAGCTCTGTAAGGTTACGTGGGAAAAAAATTGGTGCATCTTAAACTGTAACAAATTACTAAAAAGCCAAATAGACAATTTATTAAAAAACAATACAGAACTTGCCTAATATAAGCCCACTCTTCTCCACAGAGGATTTTCTATGTTCTTTGATCAAAAACAACAGTGACATTCACTTTTGTAATATAAGACTTCTTTTTCAATCTAAAAATTTTTGGGAAATATACACTAGGAAGCTGGAAATTGTTCCTTCAACAGATCACCTTCACTTCTGAGCCTGAGTTTGACTATTCATAATCAGCATTCCACTTGAGTTAGTATTTCAGTGAAATATTTGTTGCTTTAAAATCTCTTTCCCGTTATTCTCTGAACAACCACAGTTTAATTCACGTACATATGGACAAGTGCTGTACATCATAAGTTTGGCAGAACAGTGGGAGCAAGGTCATACAACTTCCAGGTCTTATAATAGTTGCATTGATAATATTAACTTTGAATTATCTGCTTTCTTTAAAGAAGCCCTCATAAGAACAACTGAAATAAATTAAAGAAACATTCACTGTAAGTTACACTGAATTCAAATTCTAGATTAATCATAAACTAGCACCAGTGTAAGATTCTTTTAAGGAAAAACTTCTAAGCAGAACAGTGTCGTTATTCCCTGAAGTATGTGAAGTTGAATAAACATGCTCATTATTTCCTTTAAATTAAGCTATTTCTTCCATATTCCTCACCTACTAAACCTCAGAAACAAAACTGAAAAAGACAGGACTAGATCACTGAGCAAGCTAAAGAGCAAACAAAACCACAAAGGCAAATTCCAGACAGATCACAACTATAAATACACATGTGCATGTAAATGTCAAGGCAGAGGAGCCAAATCCCTCCCCAGAAAAGTCTCTTTCACAATTAAGCATCAGAATATTTGCAAACATATTAATGAATAAATTGACATTTGTCTACAATGGTTTGAAGACAGAACATCCATCTACAGTAAAATTTCCCCTAAGATCTTCCATTATTTTTCCAAAGAATTTTGACAATTACTTTTCTCCCTATCATCTTTAACTGTATATATTTGTCAACTGAGCTACATTTATACTTTTGAACTGTAAATAAGAACTTGTACATGCAAACACCACTCATTAATTCATTAGTTTTATTATGGAAACATTCAGTAGCTGGTCTCATATACAAAAATAAGTTTTAGAGTTTACAACATAAGCAACAAATAGTTGAAATTATTTTAATTTCAGAAAATGCAACGTGGAACTTGCAGAGCATAACAATTCTTCCTAATCGGCCAATGGCCCTAAAAGAAAAGCTTAATTTAGTCATACACTTTATATCCAAGTAATTACCCAAATATATCAAAGTTTTACTTCAGTTATCTGTAGGAACATGCTGCTACTGTAATGAAAGTAAAAAGTTCATTGTACATAAGGATTCTGGAGCTGATTTTACATCTAAATAAATAATCATAAAAGAAAGTATAATACCACATAAAAGCTTTTTAAATTGATAGAATTATGAAGTTACAATAGATAGTGACATTAACTTCGTTAAAGAGCATATTTGAGCAGCTAGGCACACTTACTTTGTATTTTCATATTGCATACACTGTGTCTTTGAGACACACTACTTGTAAAAGACTCAAATTGAAATGCACCCCAAAGCATTTACCAGTTTGTGTACTACATTATCATAATTTCTTTCCTAAGGCACATGCAACAGTGCAGTTTAATGCAATTCCCTAACAACTGAAGCTTACATTAAAATGACTTATTGACTTTTGATTTCCTCACAGGTTAAAAAGGAAGAAATGTAGTGGGATAAGTATAGTCATGCTTTACAAAAATACCTGTCTTCCATTAGACATATATGTAGTCACGGTGAAACAGTACTTCATAGGACACATACCTACTATATTTTCTATATTTAAAAGTCAATAGTATTGTCTGGAAAAGGTCTGGTCTGATTATTTTTGGTTCAAGAAGAAATATTAAACAGAACTGCAGGATACAGAGTTATCCAAGACAACTAAATTCTTTATATTTAAGTTATACCAGCCCTATCATCAACAAAAATATTTTCTATTTTATATTGGCACTATCTGTTTCAAAACAATGTTTATAATATTACTGAAATATATACTCCTGCGAACAGGCCAAAGAACGTGTTTTTAAGGTCTCCTGTGGGAAAGCTTACTTTGAATATACATTCCAGAGTCAATATGAATTTAGAGCTCAAGTTCCAATGTTAAATCTCAAAATGCATACTGCTATCACCCAGATATACTGTTACCACTTCTGAACTTTCAAAATGAATTTTCAAGCCTGTGATTCATGTATCCTTCGATTTTATTTGGAAAATCTACATGACAAGACAGCAGGCACTGTTAGCAAATTTTTAATTAGGTTTTTTTTGTTACTTTTGTAACAACAGACCAAAAGCTAGAAATGCTATGCAGAACTGAAAATGTCATTTATATTTTCACATTAAAACTCTGTATAATTATATATGAAGTTATAGGGTTGGGTTTTTCTCTTCAGAAAATTATTATTCCCACTATATATGACCTACATAGAAGTACATGCAATACAAGAAAAAAGAAAACAAACCAATCCAAATCTCAAGTAGATTTTATATTAAATATGGTTACAACTATCTTCAAAAACATGACAAGGACACTAGCAACACATGCACACTGATCCTTCATCACAACATAACAAACTTATATGTCATTAACGTAAAGAATTGCTTTCTCATACCTGATTCCTGTCTACTAAGTCACAATCTCTACTACAGCTGAAGAACAAAAATATACTTGGAAGAATTTTCCAAATTTAACTTTCCATGGCTGAGAAGTAATGAACATCATCTTGCAAGTAAGCAAAGTTCTTAGGACTCAGCTATGATGTAATGCATTGATGAAAACACAACTAACTCCCCCTTACTTCACAATGGTGTGATTAACTACTTCAGTCAAGTACCAGACTGCACTTAGAAAAACAAAAGGAAACATCCAAAGTATGGTCACACAAAGTAACACACACACAAAGTATTTTCATCTACAGATTATAGCTTCCTTCATCTGAAAGAATACAGATTCCACAAATGCTTTTCAATTCCTTACTTAGATTCAGAGTCCATTTCAATTCCCACCCACACGAATTTCTGTAAAAGGATACTTCTTCAGAACAAGTTGACTGGTCAACCAGGAAAAATGCCAATCTTGCAAAACATTTAACAGGTTCCCTCACAATACTGACTCACACTCACTCTTATAAACCTCAAGTAAATTAACGACTTTTTTGCCATACATACTTTTGTAAACATCTATATGGAAAAGTGTACTGTGTTGGCAAGGAGAAATATCTTCTCACTGTTGTTACCAAAAAAAAAAAAAGTCAAATTCATAAGAAACCTGCAGTTCTGTTTCCCCCAAGAAAATGTTCTATTTTGACAGGTTCTGCACTATTTACTACTAAGTTACCAGTTTGGGGGAAAAAAAAAAAGCAGAAAAATATAATAGTGAAAGTCCCTCCTTTTAATTTTACATATAATAAGACTGGATTTTTGTCTTAACTATTTTTGGCTCTGACTGCTATCACTCAGAAATTTATCCACGACTGATGGAATTCTGTCATGAAACAGCCCATATGCAAATGAAGACTTAGACTTAATCACACATTTATCACACTGTACCAGTCAGGTTTCTGACACCCATGCCACCAACCTTCCCATGTTGGTTATATAACAAGTAAAGACATTAAATATGATGCACACTTTAAGGCTTCATAATTGTTCACTGTCTCCCTTCAACACCAGTTGCCTTTTATTTGAATGTATTATGTTCTATAGCCTTTCTGGTAATTGTTTTAAGAAGCAACATAGTGCTGCAATAAAAGTCTTTCAGATTCTCAAGTGCTAACATACTCAGACCCTGAATATGTTTTCAATATTGTCACATCATAGTATTTTATCGGTTATACCTATGCGTTATACGTATGTCATTGGCTTCCATGTTACACTTTTCTCAGCATGAATAGTAAGCCACATAACAAAATCGATATTGTTTATAAAAGGTAAAATGTATTGATTAAGTCTGATTAGTGCCAAAAAATACAAGATGGATTGGTAGTCAGGAAAAAGAACTAGTGGAAGTGTTAGGAGGTAACAGGAAAGGAATAGAGAACAAACCAAAAAACATTATTATAGTATCATATGAACAGCAGAGTACTAATAGTACATCTACACCATAACACTGTGCAGTTCTGTTCCCCCAAACTCCCCAAAATCAAGTTTGTGGTTTTTTTTTTTTTTTTAAATGTTTGGAGGACCATAAAATATGTACGATCAAAGATATGCAAATGCTTCCATATGAGAAACAACTGAGGAGGCTTGAGTTCTTCAGTCTGTAAAAAAGAAAGAAGTTAGAGGTCTACAATGGATGGAGAAAGGAAGAAGCATGAACTGTTCACGGTCTACTCACATCTAAGCCAGAGCCACCATGTGAAACTAGCAGAAGCCAGTTTCAACAATAAAATTAAGTTCTAAAAGTGATAGAATTCCCTGCCAAAGGACACTGGAAACTCAAAAATGGTTTCAGTGGGAGACTGAAAAAGTACTATAGAAGAGATTCACTGCAAGGTTCTTGACAGAGAAGACAGGGTGGGAATTCCCTGAGCTGCAATTCCTTGGAAGTTAGGAAGGTGAAAGTTAGAAAGAGGACCAAGCATAAACTTTATTCTAACATTCCCTGAGGAATCTACTTATGGCCACTTTCAAATGCAAATTACTGGGCTAAACCACCCACTTAATGAACAACCAGTTCAGTATTCTCTAGATGAGCACTCTCATTAGATTCATTAAAATTTCAACATAATGCAATTCAGCCACTTCCATGTTCATGTAGAATGAACACTTTCTAACACAGAAGCTTAAAATGTCAGCAACGGCACTCTAATCAACCTCAGTGACACACAAATGCTGTCCAGATGTATGGGTTCAGTCAAGTGCTAGAGGTATGCTCCAACTAACACATTCGAAGAAAAGTGTTGGAGTACTCTTTATTCCTTGTCATATAACTGGAGTATTGGTTTGTATATGTTTTCAAAAAAAACATTCAACTCATTTATTAGTATTGCCAAAGAGGGCTGGTGGAAGCCTTTTTGGATTTGGGCTTTTTGGAGGCTGGTATTTGTTGGTTGTCTGTTTTGGGCTTTTTTAAAATGTAGACACACTAGAGGCATATTACTTAAAACTAACTTGAAATTACAATCCAGGCAGAGTACTACTTGCAACCATGCTGCCTCTTCTTTCTCTCCTGCCACCTCTCCATCTGTTCCTATGAAACAAGGTATCAGTTGCCTATAGGCAATTCACACACCAAAAAAAAAAAAAATTAAGAGATGTGTAAACCTCTACCCTCATTTTCCTACCTGCAGATCTGGTTATTATATAAACCTTGGAAAATATGCAATAAATATTAAGTATATCTGTATTGTTTTCCATCTGAGTGAAATAAAGAGGGGTGTTGTTTACAATAAACAGACTTTTTAAAAAAACAGGTATTTAGTAACACTTGTAAAGATGTTTCTAATATTCCTGTTTTCAGTAAAAGTGAGGCTTAATTCAACATTAACATTCAATGGATTTAGCCCCACTCTTACAGCACAGAAGGGACAGAAATCTCCCTAAAAGTATAGACACGGAATAGCCATCTCACTCTGCTACTTCTGCAGTCCAGCATTCCCCACCCCACCAAGCAGAGCCAGCTGGCACAAACCAAAGTAACATTTGCTCTGGGCTAGCTGAGACTGGATACAAGGCCAGCCAGCTCAGACCCTGGGAACCATGACTGGCTCCCTACCAGTTCTTCCACCAAATGAATGCTGGTGTAGGAGAACTTCTGTGACCTAATAGTAGTGCTATGTACTGATTAACAGGAAAAGGACAATGGAAAAACAGTGCTAGTTTCCACAATAACCCTTGCTGACTTCCTTCAAGAAACTAGAATGTAAAAAGATTTTTTTAAAGGCATTTTAAATGTGTTAATTTCAATATCCTACATAAGGTTAGTTATCACAACTACCGTATCACCCAGGAAACATTAGGATGGGCAGACCGTTTCATTTAATACCTATTTCAATGTAAGTAGCATACAACAGCTCCTCTTTTAGCCTTTCACCTGTAGAAAAGGGAGATTATCCACCACCTATAACAATTTACTGGTGTTTACCTTAACTACAGTAGCAATTCCTTCATTCCCAGCAATGGAATCCTAAAGGGTTTCTTCCACCAAAAAAAAAATACTTAACAACCTGTTGTCTCAGCAATGAGGCAGCAGCAGAGAACACAGGGCACCTGTAGAATAAAGACAGTCCTTAGAGGTTAGCTCTTGCTAAAAATCTCTGATAAATTGGCACTGGCATGACTCAGATGTGATCTGATCTGAATGTGAAGTCTTTTTTTCCAGTGGTTCTCAGCCTATCACTAAGTATTTGGATTCATTCTATTAAAAAAACAACAACAACAAAACAAACAAAACAAAAAAAACAATACCAACAAACAAAAAACCAACAGCCCAAACACACTGCTAGTTTGGAACATTCATTAGTGGACCATAACACATTATAGAATTATTTTCCTAATGGTGAACATAGTCTACAGGTTTATACTGAAGACTGATAGGCTCATCCAGAGTTTTATCCCTACTTCAGTCATGTTCCATAATTAAGGAACAGACCCAAGTCATGCCTGAAAGTTATTTTTACTTCTTGCAAAAGTATTAGATCTTTTTTTTCCTGACATAATTAAAAAGTTATCAGTAAACAGAACAGCTGAGAGAAAAAACTGAATAAACACAATACTGATCGTAGTTATGGGTTAGATGTAAGAGGGGGGATGAAAGGTCAGTGGAAGATGCTTGCACAATCCCTATCCACACTTGGTTAATTTTTTTTTCCTGTAAGAATGACAGAAATTAATAGTTTACAAAAGAAAATACACTGTTTTCTCTGTCCTGATAAAGAGAGGAACTACAAAACAAAGAAATCCACTTGGAAAATTGAATCAGCTACAGTGTATTGTTTTTAATTGCTGTTATACACAAACAAGATGAAGGTTATTAATGCATTACCAAATAAGGAACTGCACACATTTTTGCTGTAGACATGTGATGACACTGTTCTTACATAAGCAAAAGGACATGGTCACACTAGATGCTTTTTCCAGAGTGTGCTCGTCAAAATCCCACCCAGCTGCTCTGATTCACACAGCTAGTTTTACATGCAAGGCTGAAAACACACGCACCAAACTGTTGTATAAAGACAGGAATTTGGAAAGGAGATATCAGAACAACTCTATTTAACCTGAAAGGAGAACACAAGTCAATAAGAATGTATTTCTGTTCACCTACAGAAGACAGAAATACAGGCAGCCCCAATTATATTTATCAGAATGTGCTGTAACAGGAGTCAAAATAGTTGCTCATTAGTCTTTCAAATGTTTCAACAACATTACATAGTTCAAATCAGGCTGCTTAGTTGTTTTTCTCCTCCTTAGTCAACCTAGAATATTTTTGGGAAAAGAAGATGGAAGGGAGGAGCTTAATAGACCTACTTTCGAGTTAATCTCTTAAATGACTTTATTCCTCTAGACTAAATGGTGCATGCCTAGCTAAAAGGTAAAGAAGGTACAACATGGACAGATGAACAATTAAGCAGAAAAAATGTCCAGGCGTTCTGAAGTGATAGCAAATTTCGGCATCACATCTACTAATGACTACAGAAATCCTATAGTTTCATGAAAATTTTCCCTCAAACTCATACTAGAAGTTCAAACTTTGCATGGTAGCAAATCCTAGAAAGACATTTAACTGTAGGAAGTAACATGTTTTCTTTTTAACCTTTTCCCTGCCCCTTCTGAAAAATGCAGTACAAGTAACAGTGATGAATTAGAGGACATCTGCAAATAAAATTTATAATTTCCATGACATTTAATGAAAACATTGCACAAAATCAGTTCACTCATATGATGTAATCCTAACAGCCAACAACCTGTACAAATGAAGTAAAAGATCTCCTCTTTATATTCTCTGCAGTAAATACCAATCCATAGTCAAAAAGTTTACAGGTGTATGGGTTTTTGTTTGTTTAAGCTAAACTTACAGAACCTCCTGTTTTCTTGTTCTTTACATTAAGTCATATCATGACATCCACATCACAGATTTTTTTGTTGCTGGGTTAATCTCAGAGATCACTCATTCATCCCTTTCCAAGTCTACACACCATTGTTAAGGAGGGGTCATTTTAAATGCAACTAGACTGATGATTATACCAAGATACTTTTAACCACCAATAGATACTGAAGGGGCAGTTAAACAACAGGTTTCTCTAAGGTGCCTTTGAAAATTGATTTATTAAAGAAAAAATATCCTTAAACATTCACAAACTTCACTGCAAATGTGTAATTTTCCTAAAACATGCATGTAACCCTTACAATAAACTTTAAGGGGGTTTTTAGTTTGTCATAATTATGGTTTTATAGACTAAAGGGATTAGTCATTCTGAGCTTCTAAACCACCTCTTCCATTTTTCCTTCGTAGCCCTCAGAAGAGATTTACCTTTCTATGCTAGTTTTTTTAATTGACACTATGATATATGCACACTTTGTTTAAAAATAAGGTGCTCTGACTCACAAATTAACAAATACAGTTAACTGTAATTAAACAGTATCAGAAAGAATACTACTATGGCACCCATCTCTTTAAAGTAATCAAGTTTTTCCCACTTCAAGTTGAGAATTCTGAACATCACTTCCTTAATTCAACAAAATATGTATTTACATACTTATTAACAGGACTTGGACACACATTCTTCAGTGCTCAGCTGTTAGAGGGATACAGCAGACACTTCCCTACAGCTACTATTGCATTATTTATTTGTTCTCCCTTTCAAAGTCCCTCAGACCCCATCTCTGACTTAATCCCCATTCATATGCAACTTCCATGCCAAGCTCCATCCACCAATTTATTTCCAGCAAGACCTTTCACACTTTCTCTCCCCCATCTGGGAGTTTTGCAGATGTTAACAGAAAACAAATTCTCCAGGCTCTGAAAGCTTTCCTTCCCATGATACTCACATAAAAATATCCAATCCCCTTGAACAAGTCAGATGCTGAAGACTGATGACCACATTATCATGCTGACTAATATTATCCAGCTGCCTTTTTGCACTACATTCTTTCTATAGGGTGACCCACACTGCCTCATTGTGTATTTCAGTTGTATTTAAGGAAGAAGTGCATGTTCTCTGATTTATCCTTCTGTATTTGTGACACATCTAACACAATGGTGGCCTAATGCAATTTGATAGCCTTCTGTAAGCTAGTCAAAATTTTAGAGGTTAGGTCATATTAATCCTTTATTGCTCAACTGTCCTCAAGCCCAGAATCAAATTTGCTGGCAGACCGCAACAGAAACCTTGGGACAAAAATCCCTTCTTCCTTTTTAAGTTTTACTATTAAATTTTCTTTCAGCAGCTCCAACCCACTTCCAGCTTTAAATCAAATACATACAAAATTAGATTCACAAGAGTAAAATGTGCAAGACAAGTGAACACATATTTACCCATCTTTTCTTCAAATACTTAACACAGTAAAACTTTTTTGCTAATAAAAGCAGAGTGACTAAATGCAAGCCAAAAACTCCGAAGACTTAGGTGTTTTTGAAACTTACTATAGCAAAGTAGGTACACAAGGGACCAGATAGGGACTTAGGGAGCAAATCCACTCTTGCCCTTCCCCAGAAGCCAAAAGGAAAGCTGTGTTATCATCAGTGACTGAAGGCAGATGTGACAGCAGCTGCAGCAAAGCAGGCTGCCCTTCCTCTTTTCCCACAAATATTTTTTCCTACCCCCTCCAATTCCTCAGCAGCAGCCCATGCCTCTGCATTTGTCTGGAATGAAGCATAACAGGAATATTTGTGGACTAGAAAGACACAGCTGGCCATCACTTGGATAATCCTGAGTAGATAAATTCTGCACAGTAATTTTACTATTTCAGTCCGAAAAACTGTTCCCCTTGCCCATCATCTCAAAAGAGAGCTTAACTATGAGTATTGTATAGATTTTGTAGACAGTTTTAGTTATGCTTTAATATTACATTTTTTCCACCAATGCTTTCTCTTTCAGATCCAAATTGTGGATCTGAAATTTGTAATTACTACTTCAGTGCACATGTAGTAAATATGAAAGCTCCTGATAGATCAACAGTTGTCTGGATATAGAGCACATGCTGAATATTCTCTCAGTAGTTAATGGAGTTTTCTACTGATAACGTTGCAGATCCTGGGCACTCTTTCCCAGTGCAGGAGCATTGGCTGACAGCTGGGATCTGAATCAGTTGATCTAAATCTCCCAAGTGATAAAATCATCAGAAACTAATTACAAATTTCCTCACACCAGCAATGACTTGAAGTAGATGTAAAGCTATCACAATGGTTATCCTCTGATAGTTGAGAGACCATAATCACTTCTACACAGGTGTTTAGTGTACTGAGGCAAAGCTAAACAAAACACACTACCCAGAGAGTTGCAGAGACAACTTTCTAAGAAATGTAATCCTTTAGTTTATGATCCTGTGAGAGGTCTCCTTACCTGTACTAGCGAACCACTTCTATCAGGACTGCATTACTCTTTGGTCTGGTCACCTCAGATCAAAGCTGAAGTCAATTGCTAAAGTGGAAAAAAACCCAAACAACCCAACAACAGAACTAAATGCAAGCATGCACTGCAAGTGTCTTGGCTTATGCAGAGGATTTGGGTCAGTTCTACACTTTTACATGTACACTTCTGCAATACCTGAACTAGCTAATTTATAAACGCCTCTGGTACTTTTCGGTAGAAGTAAGGATTCCTTCATAAACACAATATTTGATTTAAAACAAAACAAAAAGTTGTGTTGTTTTGTTTTTTCCCAGAACTTCCCATTACTTGTGTGACAATCTACACTATACATAAAGTTTTCTGACTTATGAGATTTTTCATTTAAACTATCTGTTTCTCAGTAATTGTATCTACCAGAATGTTCTAGTCTGACAATTACTGGAAAAAGCAACAACTATGGCCTGAAAACCATGAAGAATATCATTATCTAATAAGTTTAACTATGGGAGACGCCATCCTCCAGTCTCCAAAAGAAAAACTGAAAGACATTTTAATACTCCATATTCTCTCTTACCTCTTATGTTGTCTACTATCTAATTATTAAAATTCTGGAAGATAAATTGTAGATTACCACACATCCTTCTTTAGTAAGAATGAGTTACTGTAGAAGTGAGGCTTATTTTAAACAGCAAAACCAAAGTTCTCATGATCCAGCAGCACAGTGAAAATATCTGCTTACCTATCCACTACATTTAATTTCTGAGAAGGTAGATTAGAGAAAATGAGCAGTGAGTAATTTCTGCAAGTGAGAAAGCAGAATAACCTAGTGTATGCTGCTGTAACAAGTCAGCAAAGCACTTAAAAGAATACTGCAGTTAGCACTGTTAAAGGGTTAGGTCCTTACCCCACTCCATTAAGAAATCAAAGAGAAGGAAGTAATCCCATAGGGATAATTTTCTCAACAGAAGTATCATTTAATAAAGCGAAATGGAGATAGAGAGCTTAAGAGACATGGGTTTCTAGGAGATAGGTTCTGAGTACTATCATTAGGAATTCAGATAGAAGCAACTCTAACTGTTGATAAAGGTCATTAGGTCAACTTAACAGTGAAAATAAGGGCATAATATTTATACAGTAGACAATATTTAAGATCTTCCTCCTCTGTAGTTTTTTAAATTTAATGTTCTAACTATCTGACAGGCCTAAGAAATACAGTGAGTTCAAGAATTTGAAAGATTGAGGAATCATATATATACTAAATATCTCTCAGCTTTCAAATGAAACACCACCTCAAACAGCAGTAAAAAGCTGATAAAAATTCCAGAATTAACATTCACTTATTAGTTGTTTATGAATACAACTAGAACACTTACAGTACCAGACAAGTGTTTTCATTAGCCCAAGGCATTATAACTGCTTAAAAACATCATTAATGTTATTATACAGCTACTGGCTTGTCTCACAGAACTTAGCAAAGAGTCATTAGCCCATTTCATAACAATAAAAAGCGAAGTACATAGACGTTCCACATCTTGTAGTACATTAAGAGCCATAAAAGACATAGCCAGTAGCTTCAATGCATCACAGTCTACTACTATTGCTCAACTTAACTTATTTGCACAGCATGACTGGTATACATAACCAAATTCTCAGTAACAAAGGAAATGAAAAAATGGTTCAAAGTCAAATTACTGTAAATAATACCAAAATAAATAGCAAAGAGTCAAGCATAAAAATGAAGTTCCCACTTTTCAAACCTATTTTTACTTTCTCCTCGCCCCCCTGCCTCCTGCCCAGCTAGCACAACTATATTAATGTAAAGTATATGCTAATTATTCAGAACAGGCATTTTCAGCAGAAGTATCTCAGCAGCAAGTTTCACCTAGCTCTAATTATACATTGTAATCTGCCTAGAAGCATGTAGGAATTTTAATTTTGTAGCATATCTTTATCTTAAAACCCTTTTGAGCTATACTACTTCAAAAGTATTATAAAAGAACAAAGAATCTAGCATGTGTTTTCAGCTTTCTTTGGTGGAGTTATCTGGACTAGTGATGCAGGATAATCTGACTTCAGCAGCAGCACTGTTTTAAGGTCCATTAAAATGATCCCATTTATAAACAGTCAGAACTGAAGGGACCAATGAAAATCCAGGAACTTCTTAAGGCAGCATGGAACTACAAGGCTGGCCAAAAGACAAGAAAGCAAGATGCATTTTGACTTCAGCAGGGTTGCTCCCTCTCTGTATATTGCCCCAAATTAGGCAAAGTGCAGAACACCAGTTTCTTTATTAAAAGTACAGACAACAGAGAAACACAGACCCATTTAGGTTGGAAGAGACCTCCCACACCTCAGTTTAAAACCACACGTGTTTAAAAAAACCTCTTATGTAATCCAGAAACTTGTAAAGAAACTACAGTTCAATGCATATAAATATTTTTTTCAAAAATTGCAAAGCATCTGCTAGGAATAGTACAGAAAGCAGATGTACAGCTTAGTTCCCCTTTGGTATTATCTAGTCTCTACGGCTATGACAGCTAAGTAGATATTCTATGACCTTATCTAGACGTGAAGCCTTTGCAACATTGTCATCCGTATTCAGCATGACAGTTCATCCCTACTAGGTCACAGGACCTAACCAGGGCCCAGATTAAAGCACTACAAGCTCCAATTTTTCACTAAAGCTTGTGCTTGCGCAAGCAAGAAAAAAAATCCCCCTCGATTGTGAAAACTATACAATAGCTGTGACCACTTGCAACTAAGAAATAAACAATCGTGGACGCTGCAGGGGGAAGCAAATGAAGCCCCCCCGAAAAATGAAAGCCTGCCGAGTTTCGCGAGGCGGTAGAAGAGCCCAAAAGCCGCTGAAACCAAACGGCGGGCCGCGGCCCAAGGGACAAGGTGGGCAGAGCGCGGCGGGGGGGACAGACTGCCCCGGGAGCCGGCTGGGGAACAAGTCCCACGGGGAGCCCCGCGCTTCTCCAGCTACCCTAAAGCCTGCACCACTAGACGCCGAGGTTTACCCCCCCCAAAACGGAGCTTGTGTTATTTCCACTGGCTGTCCCGCGTCACACCGCGGGTACACCGACAGCGCCAGGCGACCGCGCAACGAGAGGCACCGTGGCACGACACTGCGAGGAGCCCCACCATGGGCCACGGCCACACCGTGGAGGGAAAAAGGCCCGGCCCGGCCCCCCCCTTCGCTCTGGGCAACGCCGCTGCTACCCCCACCGCCCGCTCCTCCGACAGCCCAGGGACCAGTCGGGAAGGAACAGAAGCATCGGAGCGCCAAACGCCTCCCCAGGCGCAATCTAAGGCGGGCAGGCGGCCAAGCCGCAGCCATGGCGCTGCCGCTTGCCCCGGGGCCCCCCGCCATTACCGCCCTCACGCACTCACCCAACTGACGCCACTTCAACCGCCCCCCGGGCCAACCTTGCTCCCGGCAGTCCCCGCGCCGCAGGCACAGCTCCCACTCGCGCACCTACAGCTCGAGACCAAGTCGCGCGAGACTTGCCCGGAGCGGAGCGCAGCGCAACACGCAATACCCGACTCCCTCCTCCCGCCCACCCCGCCCCGCCCCGCCTCACGTGACACTCCCAGCCCTATCACTGGCTGTCTCCAAGCCCTCGTGCCCCTATGGAAACACCGCGCGCTGACTGCCTCCCCCTTTCCGGGGGGCTCCCCCGCAGGCCCTGCTGCTCGCGAGGGGGGTGGGGGGGCGGGGAAGCGAGGCCGCTCGAAACGCCGCGAGGTTTCTTCGTCGTTCTCCGGCACGCCTACGAAATCTCGCCCCAGGTCTCGCGAGGTTACGCTGCGTTCCCTCCCCCCTCCCTGAGCACGATGCCGCGCAGGAATGTGAAAGGCTCCCGCCCGCCGCCATTTTCTTTCTTTCTTGGCAGACAGCGAGTGGGGCAGGAAGCGGTGGCTGAGCGAGTATGGCGGACTATTCTACGGTGCCCCCTCCTGCTTCGGGCGCGCCTGGGGGAGGCGGCGGCGGAGGTGGAGGAGTGAACGACGCCTTTAAAGACGCGCTGCAGAGGGCTAGGCAGGTGCGTGTGTGCGTGGGCGCAGCGCGGCGCTGCCAAATCAATGGGCCCTCGGGTCGCGAGGCCTGGAGGCAGCTGCGGACCGCGCCGCGGGGCCTGAGCCGCGGGAGGAGTCAGCGGGCTGCGCCCTGACTGCCCTCGGCTTTAGGGAGACCTGAGGAGGGGGGGAGCCCCTCCGCCGGTATGTGTCTGCGGGTTGGGGGGAGCTTTGTCTTGTCCCCTCAGGCCCTCCGCGCACACCGCCCGCCCGCCCTCCGGCACTGAAAGGTTTTTTTCCCATTCGCTGGCTCCCTTAGCTCCGCCATTGCGGACTGGGCGCCCTCAGCGCCGCGGCTCGGCGCCATCGCTGCCGGGGTCCCCGCCGCCGGCCTGCGGGGAGGCGAAACCTCAGCCGGCGGGTAGCGGCGCGCCGCCTCACCGGGAGGGAGCCCGGCGGGAGGGAGGGCGGCTCCGCCGCGGCCCGTATTGTGTTCCCCGAGGCGCCCTCGGTGCCCGCTAACCTGCTCAGACCGGTTGGGTCTGAGCGCTGCGGCCTGCGGAGCGAAGGCGGCGAGGGCTGTCTTTTTGGAAGTTCCTTATCCCGAAGTTTTATTCGCAGCTTTTGCACCACGGGCGATGCTTTCATTCTTTATCGGGCAAAATTTTCGCCTCGTCTGGTAATAGCCGGTCGTGGGTTTAGCAATTTTTGAAGGCCCGGTGGTGTTGGAACTATAAAGGTTTTAAATAGTTTTAGCGGCCAGGTGCTCTGTGAAATATCGCAGTGGTTCGTGAAGAATGGGTAGAAAAGGAAGAGCCCCTTTTAGAAAAAAGTTTCTGGTGTGTGAAGGGCAGGCTGTTTTGTTCTAACGGATGAAGAAAATACAGGAAGCTTTACTGTTGAAAGATGAGCACAAGTCTTAATGAAAATATTAAAATATTCGTAGGCAGAACTGTTTTTAGCAGCAGTCTTATCCTTACTTACTTGGGGGTCACGTTAATATGCATTGTCTGAATAGCTCAAAATCGTTTAGAAGACCTGGAATAAACGAGGGCTGACTGAATTTTTTTTTTTTTCTTTTTTTTTTACTTGCAACTTTTGCGGTTTGTTTAGATTGCAGCAAAAATTGGAGGAGATGCTGGCACATCAATGAATTCAAACGACTACGGTTACGGAGGACAAAAAAGACCTCTTGAGGATGGAGGTATGCGATCGTTACTCCTGCATTTATTTTTGTTGAGTGTGGCCACAGTGCCGCAAAGATTGCAGGTGTTTGTTTTTTGTTTTTGTGTTTTTTTGTTTTTTTTTCAGTAGTACAGCATAAAAGGATTTTGTTCCCTTTATAGATCACAACATGCTTTTTCATTTTCAGTTTAATGGGGAAATTTGTTTTGAACCATTGTGCTCTAACCTGAACTGAACGTAATCCTGTTTTAAAATATTTTAAATGTGGTTTAAATGCTGTAAAGAGGAAAATGTATGCTGGGGAGGGGGACAGTTAAATTAATGGTTGAGAAATGCTTACACAGGTATGTCATTTAAGCCTCTTGTTGTGTAGGTCTGATTACAGTTTGTAAATTGTAATTAGAGCAGGAGGTGCTCACTCCTTAAATTTGATTGTTTCATAGACTTTATTACTGCACAGTTTCAAATAAAAGTATTAATGCATTTCATTGTAAAAGCATAGGACTTTAAAAAAAGACAGGAAAGTAAATTTTCTACCTTATAGACACTTTTGCTTAGTCTAGTATTTAAGTCTATAGCATGTGTGAACCCTGATAAGATCATACTTAAATCTTCTAACTTCTTGCAGCTTTTTGGATTTGCCTTATACTGCAGTAAAGTTTTCTCCTGAAATGTGTGTGTGTGGTCTTCTGTCTCTTAGTAAGCAGCCAGTTTGAACTTAACAGGGTTTGATATGTTTAATATACACACAAAATCCTGGCTAAATTGTGGAAAGAAATCTCTGAGCTTGTTGAAATGTTTCTCGTAGGTCTTCACAAAAGAGCAATGCCTTTTTTTCCTTTAAGAGGATCGAAACTCAGTCTACAGAATGTAACTAAGGCTTTATATCAGGAGTTCTTGTGGCCTGTAATAAGGTTTTTTTTTTCCTATTAACGGTGAGGTTTTTAATATACAAAAATGAGCTAATGATGCTTCAGATGATATATGTAATGTATTCTTTTTATTTTATGTGTAGATGGCTCTTGGACAAGTCCGAGCAGTACAACACACTGGGAGGGAATGCCCTCTCCTTTTAAAGGCAGGAATTTTTATTTATTACCTGTGTTTAGTATGTAAACATGACATAAACTAGTGGATCTTTCTGGATTGACACAAATATTTCTTGGAATATGTGTCTGAGTTTTTGCTGCACATAAATTATGGTGGTTCATATAACCTTTATTTTGGGGTGGGAAGGAAGCATCTGAAGTCTGTCTTTTCAGATATAGGTTAATTATGCCTTTTGTTCCTTTACTGTACAGAAAGGATTTGGATGGTAGTGATGTAGTTTCTTTGAATCTGCTTTTTTTTTGAAGTTTTATGCTATGAAATGCTTGATATTTGGATAGGAATTTCATATCGACTTTCAGATTGAGATTGCATTGCCATGTGATACTGCTGTAATTTCAGATGTTTGATCTAGATTTGTGGTCATTGTCAAATTTTTTTTCTTTAAATCATTGTTGATTTTTGTATGGATTTGATTTTTTTTTTTCTTCTTTTTTACTATAGAAGCATCATTAGCTTGAGCAACCAACAAAGCTAAACTTTGTTCCTTGTCTTAGTTAAGTTTCAGTGACTGGGTACCTATGAGCAATCTACAGTGTGTTCTGAAAACTGCCTTTTGTTAAACTACTGAAGAGATATATGGAGAAACCTAACATCTTTTCAGCTATACTAACCAAGTGCTGAGTGTTTGTGAGATTCTTTCTTTTATTCAGATGATCAGCTCCCTGAAATTGGAGGAAAAAAAAGAAAGAAAAGGAAAAAAAAAAAGGAAAGGGGGACTAAAATACACTGGAAAGTTACAATTCACACTAAAGGGTGTAAACATTTCTTGAATTTCTTGGCAAAAAAAATTTAAAAAATCTTAATTTTGCAGATCAACCAGATGCTAAGAAAGTTGCTCCTCAGAATGACTGTAAGTAATTTTTATTTTGTTGCCAAAAAAATCCCTAAACAAGTGTAACATTGTCAAAACAAGAATTTGAAACAGTGTTCTGGTAGGTGATACTTGAATCAGTAAGATCAAAGAATGGCTGGGGGTTTATGCCTTATTTTCTTGAAGCAGTGTGAGTCTGCTTGGTAAAACTCACAATGATGTTAGCAACAGCTGAGAATCATTTCAGCTGTTTTTAAATCTCTTGATAACACCTCTTTAAAAGTCAACTTGGAAAAAATTAAGGTTACAATTAAGTTTTATTATCAAAGGAGAAGTTTAGTTGTAAATTATACTACTTGGTTTGAATTTAATTTTAGCAATATTTGTTTATAGCTTTTGGAAACCAGCTACCACCAATGCATCAACAGCAAAGGTATGAGTTAAATTACATCTTCTGTAGAGTTTTCCTTTTTACTGAAAGAAAGCAGTTTCAAGAAATTTTTCTGAAAAAGTGGTATCAATGTGTAAAGCAGTTACTCTGTGTGATCTGTTGAAACGTAGCTTCAGCAAGTCCCAAGCCAGACACTTAAAATGCATCTACGTTGCTGTCTCTCTTTCTTTTCACGGTCTAGGCTGTGCACCAAACTTAGTAAAAGGAAAATGCATTGTGGGTTTTTACTACTTGAGTGTAGGTAGCACAACCAGAAGTTAGACCTGAAGGGGAAGGGGTTGACAGTATCTTAAAAAAAAAAAAAAAAAAAAAAAAAAAAAAAAAAGAGAGAGAAAAAGAAAAGAAAAACCACAAAAAACAAAGCAAAACTTCAGATTTAACACAACGTATTGCTCAGTCAGCTACATTTGCTACAACAGTAGTTTTCTCCACTCATTTCTTCCCTAAACAACCACATTCAGCTTGGCCAGCCATCCCATGCTTTGGCTGGTTTTGGTAGATGAAACGCTGAAATTTGTGTATTTTCAGTGTACTTGGATATACAGATTAAGCTTAAAATGCTACACTGGCCTTTTCTGTACCCCGCATCTCTTACTAGTAAAGAGGATGAAGAAAAACTTAGATTAATTCATACTATACTAGAACTTTTTGCGGTCGCTTTTATATAAATTGTCAGTTTACTTAGTACTGTGCTTGCATGATGACTTTTAAATTTAATGGAAACAAGTAAGCCAGGGTGATAGTGGTAGCACTAGCTTTCTTTAGTTTAATGGGAGGATATATATAAATTTAATGCCAGTTCGGTCTCTGTATGGTCACTGTCTTTTGTTTTAACATTCTCTGTAGGTCTGTGATGACAGAGGAGTACAAAGTTCCAGACGGGATGGTTGGATTCAGTAAGTAGTATGGATGTAGTGGTGTATTATAGTGAGGGATG